GAAAATGAATGTTTACAAAAGAAAGATTTTCCCAGGTCCCTTTTTTACGGTTCATTTTTTGTTGGTCTTTCCTTTTTTAGGTTGAATCTTTTACAACAGTCAAGGCGAACAGATTCAATTTCCTGTTTGAGGATATGTAATTTTGAGTGTTAACAACGGTCACTTCCGGTTGGTATCAAATGTCTTCGAAGGAAGTGATTGTTGAATACGAAATCCCACAGGTCATCTTTGCCCTTTGTGGCTAAATATTTTCATTTTCGTATTAGGATTGGGTAGCAGCATCTTAAAGCACTTGCATACTTTCCTGTCAACCTGTTATACAATTGTCAGATTCCACCACCACTTAAAGTTCTTCCCACGACAACTATTCTTTGATTTTTCTTGCGTTTTTTATCCTATCCTATCGTTCTACTCATCCAACATCTCACCTTTAGTCAACTGTTTTGAAAAGGTAGGAGGTTTTGTCTGGAAAATTGAATTGACTGTATTTTCCCAGGACCAGAAGGCAGTTCGAATTCCTCAGGAAAACTATTTAAATCGTTTTGTTCTTTTTGATGTTCGCCTGGTAGTCGAGATTTGATTTTTGTTGATTAAGATGTAATTTTCACACGATCAGGAAAAGAAAATTTCCCACAGTTTAATTTAACACGTATAAAAGATGAATTTGTTTTTCCCACATAATAGTTTGCAGGAAGAGAATAATCGTGTACTCAGAGCAATCTATATTTTCCCAAGACTTGGGTGCAGAAAGGATCCCTTTAGGGAAATGTAGAGTGTCCTGTTAGGTTTTGTGTTCGCCTGGTGCATGAGTATTGCATCCTATCGATTAAACTATAATTTTCACACGATTGTCTGATAATTTTTCATTTGCGTGAGAAGTTTACAGAAATGTGTTTTGTTATATTTCCATTCAACAGGTTTGAGGAAGAGTTTAATCGTGTGTTACAATCCTTATGAATTTTCCCAGGACTCGAGATCAGGTAACTTCTGATCTGTTTTTTTTGTTCCTTATACATGAATATTAATTTTTCTTGATTAGTCACTACTTCCACACGATCGGCAGATAACTTTTTTTTCACATCAATGCATTTTTTTATTTCTTCATGCCACCGAAAATCTCGTGCTTCGAGTCAGCTGCATTTTCCCAGAAATCTTAGTCCTTTTGGGAAATTTATTTGAAGCGTTTTTCTTGTTTTATGTTCGCCTGGCACATGAATATTCTTTTTTGTCGAATAAGATTCTTTTTTCACACGATTAGCAATGGTTCAAATGTTACTTTTATTTTCCCATGCAACAGGCTGTAGGAAAAGCATTATCGTGTGCTCCAGTCCAGCTGCATTTTCCCAGGACTCGAGAGCAGGTAATATGGTTTAAAAAAAATATTTTTTAATGTCCCCAGATTTTTCTTATTGGCTACAATTTTCCGACAATCTCCGTGCCACAGGAAATGTCGTGTACTTCGAGTCATCTCGATTTTCCCAGGACTCGAGCCCAGGTAGGATCGTCTTGGACAAATTATTTAGGCCGCTCTTCTTTTTTATGTTCGCCTGGTACATGAATATATTTTTGCCAAAGGTGTCCAAACATTTATTTTATTTTCCCACGCAACAGGTTGTAGCTGCATTTTCCCAGGACTCGAAATCAGGTAAAATTCTTTTGAATTTATTATTATTTCTCTTATGGGTCACAATTTTCCCACAATCGACAGATGATATTTTTCACAATTTGGTATTTCTCTATGCAACAGGAAATATCGTGTGCCGTGAGCCATCTGCACTTTCCCAGGAATCTAACCTAGGTAGGATCCTTTTTGGAAAACTATTTGCAGCGTTCTTCTTTTTTATGTTCGCCTGGTACATGGACTTTAATTTTTGTCGAATAAGATTTTATTTTCACACGATTAGCAATTTATTTTATTTTCCCAAGCAACAGGTTGTATGAAATGCATTATCGTGTGCTGCATTTTTCCAGGATGCGAGACCAGGTAACATTCCTTTGAAAAAACTGTTTTGAGTATCTTTTAATTTTTTTCGAAGGGTCAAAATTTTCCCACACTCGGCAGATGAACTTTGTTTACGTTTTTCATTTCTCTCTACATCAGGAAATATTGTGTGCTCCGTGCCATCTGCATTTTCCCAGGACTCAAACCCAGGTAAGATTCTGTTGGAAAAATTACTTGCCGTGTTCTTCTTTTTATGTTTGCCTGGTAAATGAATATTATTTGCTGTCGGATATGCTTACAATTCTCACGATTAGCAATAGTCCATCAATTGGTTTTATTTTCCCATGCAACAGGTTGTAGGTTCAGCTGCATTTTCCCTGGACTCGGGAGCAGATAACATCCATTCGGGAAAACTATTTAGAGTGTGCTGCTCCTTATGATGTTCGCCTGGAACATAACCATTGATTTTTCCTAATTAAGCCGTATTTTTCACACGATCGGCAGATGAATTTTCCCACATCTGCTCCGGCGGCATGGAAAATGCATTTCAAATGTATTTATTTTTTACCCATGGAGCAGGTAGTAGGAGTCGTATCATCGTGTGATTTGGGCCAGCTGCTCGTTCCCAGGACCCATTAGCAGGCATAACTTCTATCTCTATTCGGAAAAATTCTATGGCTCGTGCTACATCTTATGCTGTTTGCCTGGTTTAAATGTTTACATTGTGAACATCTGGTTTGAAAAATTCACACGATCGGAAAATTTGTAAAGGACCAAAGGCAGATGAAACGATCCCACCTGCTGCGGCTGCATTTCAATAGATCTTGATTTTTTAAGGATCGTTTTTTAAACAAAAAAGGGAGGTTCCCGTTGCATTCAACAAGGTTTCCTAGAAAACGGGTGTCGCTTTTGTACCGTGCTGCATTTTCCGATGCATTTTCCCGAACGAAGCAACAGGTAGCGGATCGTTTTGGGAAAACTCTATGGGTTTCTAACAGTTTCCGCTGTTCGCCTGGTATTAGAGTTTTCCTTTCGCACAATTATTAAGGGAAACTCTCACGATCAGGACCTGGAAAAACGGGTGTCTCCGTTGTACCGTGCTGCATTTTCCGATGCATTTTCCAGATCGAAGCAACAGGTAAGGAATCTTTTGAGAAAACTCAATGAATTGGTTACTCATTTTTCTGTTTCCCTGGTATTCCAGTTTTCCAGTTGCACAATATTTTTGGAAAATTCTCACGTTCAGGATGGATTTGAAGACTGCATTTTTTCACAGCTGCACCAGCTGCAAGATTTAATTCTAAGGGCATCTTTTTTTAAGAATCTTCTCTATGTGGGAGGTCTTTTCTTTGAACAGATTTCAGCTGCACTTTTCCCAGCCACAAACAGGTAGAATTTGTAGAACCTCTTCTGTTTCAGCTACTGAAATTTCTGAAGGCCTATTCTATGATTCTTCTAGGCTTTCCAAAAATTTCAAAAATTCTCACGACTTTCAGAAGATTAAGGATCGAACTCATATCCTTTCTTCTTAAGCAACAGGTCCTAAGTGCGTTTCTTTCAAGATTTTTAGTTTTCCTTGCATTTTCACATCTCAAAAAACTTTTCCCATGTGGCATTCTAAATTTCCAGCAAACAAAAGGACAACCCAAATTCTCACGTTGTTTCCTAGAGACATCTTTTGACTACCTGCTCGTGCCCGTTTTCCAAACATTTTCCGATATATCCGACCATTTTTTCTGCTAGCCTGTTACAAATTTTGAAAGGTTTCCCAAGCATCTGGAATATTTCACACGGTCAGCCCGTGCTAAGAGATCTTTCGATGGTTCGGGGGCAGCACCAACCACGATTTTCTTTAGCCTGTGCCGATCTTTGTTCTCACGCATCTGCCATCGAGATAATGGAATGCGGGAATGAAAATGCTTTAAAGAAAACCCAGACACAAAGCGATCTCTGGTTTTATGTGATTCCCAAATTCGGGGAATAAATTCTAAGACTTGGGATGCTAGAGCGGTCCCTTTGAGTGGCTTAAATTCCATAAATGGTTCGTGCGGGTACCTGAAAAAGGTCCCAAGCGAGTATGCCATCTCACTTTTCGTGCGTTCTTAGGAGATATTCTAAATGTTTCTGAGCTCCTGTTAGATTAGTTGTCTCCGGGCTGAATAGAGAAAGGGACTTTATGTGAACCGCAACTTAGATCATGGGATATTGATATTGATCTGGGCTCATCACATTGTACGTCTATACTTCTATTAAATGGAACAGGTGTTGGTCGAAACTCGATTTATATTTCCATTTCCCAATGTTTATTCAGCTGTTGTTTCGAAAAATCGACACACTTCTATAAATACATATAAACTGTATGAAAAATAAAAATCAATTCTGTTCGTTAAGTGTATTTAATAATGTTTTTCTTTCATTACTAAGATGTATGTATTTTATTTAATTTTTTAAGGAACAAGATTTATACGTTCTTATGTACGACTTGGTCTGTTAGAAATTATCATGTTAAATTCTTGGCATAAACTAAACTTAAGATATAGAGGTAAAACTTTATTATTATTATGTTATTTGGTAATACAAAAAAATTTCATGCCCATGAGACCATGCCCATACTTGGCCCATACAACCACATGGCGGATGCGTAATATTTTAAAACAAATTATTCTCAAAAAAACATTTTTGGTCTGTCTGGATCAGTAAAAATTGCGGAAAAAAGCAAACTATTTGTTTTTATATGAAACATCTGCATTACTGCATTTTTCCAGAGGCGGCAAGGCATTTTTTAAATTAAACAATAATATTTATTTCATTAAATCGAGAATTCCGTCCACGAAGCACAGTAGGTAAAGATGTGAAATACGTTACATTAAAAAATTATGTTACACAAAATTTAATATAAAACCAAGTTCTAAATAAATTATAATTTTATAACGAAATAATCGAAAGATATTTAACCATTTTTTAACGACAATGACATTGACTCTGTATAAATATAAGTATAGGCTCTACTTTTTAAGCTCTCTTCTGCTTTAGCCATTATTTAAACAACCGTTCTTATTATTTAACTCCTGATCCTAAACTCAACACAGCCCATATTGTCGGTGACAAAGGTGAATGGGTTCAGGATGGTATCGTTCTTGGGATTGATCTCGGCCAGAGTTACATTCGTGACATTCGGACACGTGGGCCTGTCAGTGGAACAGGTGATGGAGCCGCACACCTGTCTATTTTCAATGCAGTTGTCGATGAGTTTCAAGGCAACTTCCACGCTGGAGGTAATGGAGTACACCTGTGCAAAGGAGCACTGCCAGGAACTTCGTATACGACTTTCAGCAGTACACTCGGAACTTTTAAGGTATGTATTAAAGTTATTCTCGGTGGTCACCGTGTGCTTATTGGCATCGCCGATCTATAAGTGGAATAATTAGGTAAAAATTGTAGGCATCTACAATATAAATATTGTATACTCACCACCTTGGTCACACAGAGCGTGTAATTTAACTGAGCAACAGGATGAAGCTTTAAGCATTGTGCCAGACCGTTTTTCAAATTATTTTTATAGTAATTATTTAGTTGATTATAGGTACTCTCGGGGGAGTTTAAAACCCCACTGATGCTCTGCGCACAGTTGGTAATGGACGTTCTGGCGGCGCTGATCGTCGGTATGGTGACACTATAGTTTTGAACGCACTGCTTGGTCCAGGAATCAATCAGGGTGATGGGATCCAGCTGAGCGGAGGCTTGCTCCAGTTTCGACTGCATCGAATCCGCCTGAACAGTCAGGGCCTCGATTCGCTTGCTAAAGAGAATCCTAAAGTTGGCCAACTGATCTTCTATTTGTTTGAGCTTTGCATCGTACTGCCGCTGGTTTTGCAATATGTAGAGATCCATGGACTGAGAGACGTTCGACGCCTGACCGGCCACCAAGCTCAAAAGAGCAACACTGATTGCTATACCCAGAATGTTTTGCATCTTGACTGTGAACCGAACAATTGAGGACGCCCTGTTTATATAGCCTCTCTACTCGCTTTCTTATCACTTCGTACTTCCCCTACAAAAGCCATATCAGCTGCGTCCCAACAATAAATTGAAATCTCCCTCTATATTTTATTGTCTTCCATTATTTTTTAACTCAACAACTGTTTACATAAGGTTTGGCAAGCTCGCAATTCACAAGAATTTCTTCGGGTATCCTCTTATCAAGGCTTTAATATTTGCGCAAGGTTGAAATATAATTAATTTCGCCAAAGCTCTAAACAAGGTTATTTAGGGGAAACCTTAAGTTGGGTAAATAAGCAGATATAAAAAGGGGAGTCACATAAAACACCTGCGAGTTATACATTTTTATGAGCACAAGCAACATTTTTTTAATTCTTTCAGTGGTGTTAAACTTGGTATGTAAATTGGATTTTTCAATAATTTTCAAACTTTTGCTATAAGTAGCTTTTGTGATCCGTGGAAATTTCATAAGGGAATCCCATAGCTCAGTACTAACTAAAGATTGTAAGTATTATCAATTGCTGATGCATCGTTGCTATTTTTAATCTAAACGCTGTTTTCCCGTTCGCCGCATAAGAGTCAATCTCAAATTTGTTGTTGATCTCAACCAATATTATAATTATGACTTGAATTTGCAAACCCGATCGAATTATTCTCCATAAAAGGCCACTGAATATCGACACCGCCCACGCCAAACGAGCCAAGGCGATTGCACAACGGAACTTTCTAGTATTTCAGTGTTTTGCTTTTTTGCTATTGTTTATTAAGTATACGAATAAATATCATAAAGGGTAAAATACAACGAACGCTTAGGTTAGGAAGGTAAGATGAGAAACCAAAACAAACGCAACATTTGCAGGATTAGTTGGATTCAAAACGGGGGAGGATCGGATCTCACTCAGTGCTGGACCAATTTGAAGCGGGCTGCCTCCGCATAATCCCGGGCATCGGAGAAGTTACGTTCCGGCTTGATCCGCACATCGGTGGGATCGGTGACGAACTCGCCACTCCAAGTGGGCGGCAGCACAGTGGGCTCAGTGTTGTAGTCGAAGTAATCCTGGTCATCGGAACGATTGCGCTCCTGCTTGATGCGCGTCTCGCCGCTCTTCACAAAGGTCCCGTCCCACTCGGTGGGCAGGACAATGGGCTCCGAGCTGAAGCCGTAGAAGTTGTTGGTATTGGTCACGTTCTGGTTCTGGCGACGGATCTTTGACACATTGTTGACGGCTCCGTCCGGATACTCGAACTTTCCGTTCCAGCCCTCACACTTGATGGGGATATAGTCCTCTTTCTTGCGCAGCGGCATCTCTGGGTTTTATTTTTACTATTTTCCAAACGCTGATCTTTTCGCGACGAGATCGCAAACACTATTGAATCGCTGTCGAACAGGTCGTATTCTAAAATATGATTTCACCTTGTTTGAGCGCAAAACTCGTCATGTAAATAAATGATTGTTATTTGCCGCGGAGAGTCGACCCCCGCGATTTGTTTGCGAGTATTTCGAATCGCTGACGTCAGGGGCGCAAGACTTAGCGCGATTTCTTCCGACAGCTTCAAACGGGTTCAGGCACTGAGAAAAAAGTTAGTTGGCTATAAATCAGGGTTTTATACCGTAAACCTGAAGTGATCATTTTCTGGGTATTTTTAAAATCCACTACTAAATCTTAAGGAATTAAATAAGTTTTCACGAGTGTTCTTAAATTTCCTTGCATGGCTTAATAGTATTAAACTAAAAAACATGAAAAAATAAAATTAGAATCGATCTTAAATAGTGCACAGAGAAAAAACGGAACAATATGCAATTGATATTGTTTTATATAATTTTTTCCATAACAAAATGATAAGACTTCATATCAATGAGGTACAAAATCATATGTACGGAAATATTATTTTGATATGAACACAGAACGGACCAAAAAATTGATATGGAAAAATACCCGATTGATGACTATTTTTTATATTTTTGTTCTCTATGTTAAATAAAACTTTAGAAATGATTTATTTTTTTAGTTTTAAGGAGTTTTATAAAAAAAGAGGAATAGTGATCAAAGCATGTATCTTGAATCAAATGCCTTCCGTGAATGGTTACATTTTATTTAGGACTCTATTTCTCTTAGTGTACCAACAGGTCGCCTCCTCCGCGGGTTCGCACTTTCGATCGGTGGCAGACAATGGCGCGTCGCTTGGCGCTTGGCCATATAAAGTCATCGCGTCTGGCAGCTCAATGGCGCAGAGCAGCTCCAAGCCCCGGCGGAGAGTTATGGTGGCCTAGCTGTCATAGGTGTCTTATGTAAAAATACAGGGGTATATCTTGATTGCCAGCAGATTAAAGTGATTCATACGACCCGGCAGCAAGTAAGACTTATTCCGGAGGCGGCTTACAATTAGAATGTATATCGGAACCACATTCTGGTTTCTTGTTTATTTTTGGAGTCTTGCCGATCTATTTGTGTAGATTAGTTGTGCAAATAGGTACTACAGAATAATTGAGATACTGTTGCACGCTTATAAGAAAATTAATTTGTAGCCTTTAAAGGCATATCATTCATTACCATTTTATTTATTTGCATTTTGTTTTATATGCCTTTAAAGGTTTTTACTACCATTTCAAGTACGGTAAATTATCGGATTAAACTGGAACACATTTTTTATGTAAGCAAAAATTAAGTCTTTATAAATATTTCTTAAAACAAGAAAGAAAGCTAGCTTCGGCCAGCCGAAGCTTATATACCCTTGCAGATCATTCCTATTAATTAACAAATCGCCAAAAGTTTAAATTTTCTAATATTTCTCATTAATTTTCCGATCGTTCCTATGGCAGCTATATGATATAGTCGTCCGATTTTGATCAAATTAAAATTGAAATTCAGAAATATTTAAAAAGAGTTATATCCTAGAGTAGAAGATAATACAATAAAAACCAAAGAAGCTAGAATTTATTTCCTATTACTTTTCCATTAATTTTCCGATCGTTCCTATGGCAGATATATGATATAGTAGTCCGATTTTTAAAATAATTAATTTGAAATTCAGAAATATTTAAAAAATAACATCCCCAAAAGTAGAAGGTAATATTTCAAAAAACACCGAAGCTAGAATTTTTAAAAGATTTTTTCTTCCGATCCTTCCTATGGGAGCTATAAGATATAGTTGTCCGATCCGGTCGGCTCTGACATATATACTACCTGCAATAGAAAGAAGACTTTTGCGAAAGTTTCGTCACGATAGCTCAAAAACTGATTAGTTGTGCAAATAGGTACTACAGAATAATTGAGATACTGTTGCACGCTTATAAGAAAATTAATTTGTAGCCTTTAAAGGCATATCATTCATTACCATTTTATTTATTTGCATTTTGTTTTATATGCCTTTAAAGGTTTTTACTACCATTTCAAGTACGGTAAATTATCGGATTAAACTGGAATACATTTTTTATGTAAGCAAAAATTAAGTCTTTATAAATATTTCTTAAAACAAGAAAGAAAGCTAGCTTCGGCTGACAGACGGACAGACGGTCAGACGGACAGACGGACGGACAGACGGACAGACGGACATGGCTATATCGACTCCCCTATTGATCCTGATCAAGAATATATATACTTTATGGGGTCGGAAACGTCTCCTTCACTGCGTTGCAAACTTCTGACTGAAATCATAATACCCTCTGCAAGGGTATAAAAATATTATATAAAAAAATCCAATATTTTTTCCTTTTAAAATATTTATTATGAAATTCCCTCATTCTTGTTTACTTCTTTCCTGACCCTACCTAACTTGGCCCAACAAAGATATGACAGTCATTGGGCCATTATTCACTTTTTCATGGGTTTGTGTCTATGCTAATTGCTAGTCCCATCAGTGCTTCCCAATTAAGCTCTGCACAGACAAACAACGGAAGGTGGTTCAGACGTAGAAAAAATACACAGAGAAAAAAAAAATTACTAATGAAATGTTTACTAAAAAGTTTATTATAGTTGACATATTTAAACACACGTATCCAAAATATTTTTTTAAATGTTTATAATATTTTTCTATATTTTATTTTTATTTTATTTAAAAGTAAGAAATCTTTTTGTTTTATTTCTTCGAATAATCAAATTTTTTGCACGTTTAGGAAGTACATATGGAGGATCTGGTTCACCTAAACACTATTTTACAACAAATAGGTAAACAATTTTTTTTAAAAAATAATTATAAATAAAAAAGACAATTTTTAATTAAGAATAGAAATAGTGAGTAACTGAAAGCTTTCCAAAAAGGTCAAATGAAAGTATTTGGGTCCCATTTTATCATTATTATCATTATCACTATCTTCAGTAAAGTTACGAGCTTAAAAACTAAGTCTTTTATAATTCAGGAAATTAATATTCAAAGGCTGGTAGTTTTATTCGTTGTGTATCTGATGGACGTCCACTGCTCCTCCATCTCCTGTCCTCTTTGGCTGGATGCGTGGCTGGCTTACCTGCGGTATGGACTCCCTCGCCGGGGTCTCTCCCCCTTCCTCCTTCCCCCATCCATCGGTGTCCCTCCGCTATCTGCCACTACCCATGTACCTCCTGCGGCCAACTCCTGCGCCGCTGCCTCGTTAGAAGAAGCAGAAGCAGCGGCGGCAGCGCCGGCAACAGTTTGAAACTTTCTCATTTCGGCTGGCATGGAAGAGCAGAATGGCCTCCTCTGTTTCTGGCCTCGTCGTCTGCGCAATTGCTGAGCGCCTAGTCGAAAATCCAACTAATTGCTTATTTTAACCCCTTGAAAACTGGGCGCACACCCAGATAAACTCACACACACACACTCTATGGTCCCGGGGCTTCGTGTTTATTAATTAACAACACAAAAACCCCGAACCAACAAAAGGCCCCGAATACACACACACACACTCGCACACTCACTCTTTCTGCCAGCCGGGCTTAATCCAAGTGCTGTCTCTGGCATATTCATTAGTGTTCATTAGTGGAACAAAATGCTCATTTACTTAACTACTCCGGGACTGTCGACTATGGAGACCCCATAACGAGCTCTGCCCTCCCACTCCCCAATCCCCCCACTCCCCACGTCCACTCCCCCCACTTGGCACTTATCGGCACTCGGCAAGTCACTCGGCTCCTGCCTCGTTGGTTTGGCCATCTCCATCTCGCTCTCGTGTTGCCAATTAAAATTCCACTTATGCCAAGTTAACTCACTTGGCTCGTTAATTGTTGTGGCTTTTTAATTGGACCCTTTTTCTCCTCCTGCCGCTGCTTTCCGGCTCTGGCTCCAATTTCAATTGAACAACAACGAAAGCAACTACAACAACGGCGTTTATAATGAATAGCGCAAAACTTGTGGGCGCTATGCATCCATTAAAGCCCGAAAAAAAACCCAGGCCCCCTACCTCCAGCCCCCAAAAGACCCACTTTTTTTTTTGCCATGCAGCCCAACCTCCTCGCTCACTGACCAGGTTTTTTTTTCGCTTTTTCAATGTCCCATTTGGATTGCTTATCGTCTCGGGTCGTCAGGGTTGTCGAGTCCTCGTTTCGGGGGGATGAAATAAACAGATAAGTAAGGTAGATCATTATGGTTTATTATTTGTCATTTTTGTGATATAAGAAGTAAAGTCCGAAAGAATTAAATGAAACTAATATTTTCAGAAAAATATATTTTAACTTTTTTTTTAACTATTAGAAAGAAAAGAACAAAAAGGATAATTGTAATCCAACTATTTACACTCATAGAAATTTTTACCCTAAATCGCCCTAAAAAACTGACTTTTCGCCCGTGGATTTAGAAAATCGCCCATAAATCGTATCCGCTGGCGATTCGCCCGTGTATTTAGAAAAATTTTCTAAAAAATCCCGATGGAAATTTGGTTTAATTTAGGGTGATTTTTCTTGAAATAAGAAATATTTTCCTGTTTTTAGGGTGATTTGCCCTAATTTTAAGGTGTATTTTTCTAAAATTAAGGGCGAATTTTCTGTTTTTAAAGGCAAATGCCCTAAAAAATTAGACAAATTAAAAGAAATCGTGTTTGAGCATGCTTAACTGAATTTGGGAAGCATGTTTTTTTTTTAATCGTCTATATTCTGGGAATTGGGACTGCTTTAATTAAACAACACCGGCGGAGGACACCGTTTCATATTATTGTATTGGTGTGTAGCTTATATGGGAGCTGCGTTAAGAGGGGGGGCCCCGATCTATACAGCACAGCCGTTAGAACTGAAAAATCATGTTTGTAAACGAATTAGGGAAATAAATATGAGGAGAAAAAACAACTTACTTTTTTTAGTCATTGCGAGAATCGAACCCACGACCTCTCGGTTTAGAGTCTAACGTCCTACCGCTGCACCACAGACCCATCGCGCAAGACGACGAACAAACTCTGCACACATCTTATTTTCTTGAGGTCTACGTTATAATATGACTAAAGGCAACTAAACCGTATATTTTTTTCCTGACGACTGTGACAATTAGTCCCGTTTTCTTGCCCGCAAACACAAAGTATGCTTTTAACTCAGAACTCCCATACGTTTTTAAGGTTTAAAGACTACTTTAATTTAAAATTCGGACGAAAAAATGTCCTCAGTATTATAATGTTTACAAAAAAAAAAAAACATAAAAATCAAGTTGAATCACACAGGGTTCGAACCCACAACCCCACGACCTTAGTCCTCATATAGCAAAGTTGAAAGCGCAAGTGATTAGACCGCTGGGCTACCGAATTTCACACTTTTGGAGTGATTTTTAAGGCGAATTGCCCTTGTATTTAGAAAAATTTTAGAACAAAAATTAGGGCAATTCGCCGTTGGATTTAGAAAAGGTCAAAACGAAGCAAATCGAAAAAAATCGCCCTAAATATTAGAAAAATAGAAAAATTAACCCTAAAAATATTTTTTTATGGTCACCTGCCTTAAATTTATGGCAAATTTGTCGTGAAAATAGAAAATTTTTCTCAGTTCAAGGGCGAAAATTTTTTTAGGGCGATTTTCTAAAATGTAGAAAATTATTTTTATGAGTGTAGAAATACAATAAGTGTGCGCAATAACAATTTTAATTAATCCTAATGAAGTAAATAAAAAAGTATGACATGGTAATAAAATACCTACAGTCCTATACTCCGTTTTTAATTGGATTCATGGTATTATATCCCTTTAGGCACGCTCGACAACCCTATCGAGTTGCTCTGGCTCCATTCAACTAATGAATGAAACCGCAAGCAGCCGAGCGGCGGCAACAACAACTCGAAACAAAAACCCAACAAAAACCCCTAATTAAAATGCATTTTCATTTGGGACGTCAGAGTGCTGCCAGCCCCGCGAAGCCCCTGAAACCAACCCCCCTTGGAACTACCCAATCCTACCGTTTCCCCTTCCTGAAACTGGACAGGGGCGTGTCTGAGAAGGGGCCGTGGCATTGTTTCTGCTTATTAGCCCCTTTGGAGGCGCCACTGTGCGTCTCATGGACCGTTATACCATTGTACACACACACATACGCATAGTTATAGCCCAACCCCCACCCTCTCCACTGTTCGGTCTGAATGGCTGCGGGCATATTTAATTACAAAAGCTGCTAATTAGGAAACGTACACACCCACGTTGGTTAATTTGTTTGCAAACCAATTAACTCGGCGCATAGTAGCAGGCGCACAGAAAACCGCAGACAGTCGACAGGCAGCAGCAGCAGCAGCAGCGACAGCAGCAGCAACAGCGACAGCAGCAGCAGCAGCAGCGGCGAAAGAAACGCAGCAGCAGCAGCAGCAATATTGGTCGCTTAGCCAGTCAGTCCCTCAGTTCAATTCTGGGGGTCGTCGGAAGCCTTACGTGGACGGGATGGTTCAGTTGCTGCCGGAACAGCAGAAAGAACTTTCCAATCGCTGGATGTGGATGGCAAACTTAACGCAACTAACTAACAACTGTTAACGAACCCTGGCCACAAAAGATAAGAGCCCCAGATGTTCCGAGGGTGGCTATGTGGTTAGAAAGGGGGTGGCGGGGTCCCAATAATAAATGAAAGCGAAACTTTAATGAAAAAGTTACGTTTCATTAAGCGAGTGTGCGTGCGAGTGTGTCGGCACCGTGAGAAAATTCGTTTATTAATTAACAGCCTAATTTAGTAGTATATAGTTATAAATAATTCCACATTTTTTAGGTATTCTGCCCTTTAATTCATTTTAATCGATTTGCTTTAAAGTGATCTTTCAGTTTCCTTAAAACGATCATCTTTATGATCATTAGAAAAATAATAAAGAAATTCTTAAATAGTTTATTTCTTCAATTCTCCATTTTATACGAAAAGCGGAAGTGAAATATTTTGCAGCATACTTTTAGACACTTTAAAATATTTTAAATACCTAAAGATTTTGTCCAAACTATTAAAATATATTAAAGTATTAAATAAAATAATTATTAAACACGTAAAAAAATTTACGTTGATTTGTTTTTATACAAAATCCAATTTATTTCGAGATTTTTTTGCAGTATAATGAATAATTATTTTAAAACTAAATCAGTTTTGTATTAAAACTAAGGTTCTCAGTGCATTTTTGTTCTTAATAAATGAGCTAAAGTTGGTGCAAAAGTTTCTGTCGCTCTTGCTTGGCCCGTTTGCTGTTGTTGCTGGCTTCCGCCGTTGGACAGTTGTGCGTGCTAATGAGTAATAAACAGGCTTTGTTGGGGGGGGGAGGGTTGAGCAACCCACCTCCACAGACCACACCACCCACCCCCATTCCTCGGTGGCCTAGACAAACGGTAGACTTGAATGTCAGGCGAACAGACCCATCGAGCAGCATTCTGTGGCCCAAAAGAGAGAATGTGAAAATTGTGGGTGGAGTCACTTGGGGAGGGTATCGGATGGCTTCTGTTCCGCCTCAGCTTTCGCGTTAATTAGTTTTGAGCGCTTTCATTATGCAGCTACATGTTGCAAGCGAACGAGGCGGACTGGCAATTTATTCCCCGGCAGGAGGTACAGAGATACGGATACAGAGAAGACCCATGTCATTAGCCGTGTGCGATTCTATCTTTCGCAGCGAACTCGCAATTCCGCTAATGAGCTTTTTAGCTGACTAACCAATTTGCTTTAATTAAATTTGCAGCCATTCTCTGATTACTTTTTAATGATGAAAATTACAGCTGCTGAATAGAAATAATTAAAATCCAGAAAGAAGCTCTATACGGATTTATTAGCCATGACAAATGTGAAAATATTTTAAGAGAATTAATAATAATTTGGATAAGCATAGAATATAATGTTAAATTTGAGACAGCAAAGAAAACTGTAAGAATGTAAGAAAAATGGTAGAATTAATTTAAAAATTAAAATAAAACTCAACATGCATTTAATTAACAACGTTCCTGTAAGAACGTAACCTCAATAAAATAAAGATTTTAAAAAATTAAGAACTGGTTGTTTTATTAATAACAAGAGGATAAAATTGTGGATCAGATTTTAATGCTGAAATATAGTTATTAAAGCCATAATGAGGGTATTTCCCAGTCTTAATGGCATACTCTTCGTATTAATAATAATATTGCTGATAAGGCAACAAGCTAAGTGCGATTGCATCGCATTACAGCAACCTCTGCCCATTTGCTGGCCGCCCGAACGGCACTCAGCTACAAAAACATTTTGGCTTATCACAAAAGAGTTAACAGGCACTACAACAACAAACAAACAAATTTAACAAAAGGCCATGTGCACGTTCGCCCCCCGCAGATCCGATCCCCCCTGCTGGCACGTGTGAGTTGCCCGTATTTTTCGGTTATCGCCCCAGTCGTATTTGTTTATAGAGAACTCTTTTTTTTTTGACTACCTGTTGCCGGGCGCTGAGCGCCTGATGCGACGGCAAATAATCGATCGTCAGTTATTTATTGATTTCTGATTGATGGGCCATCAAACCCCAGCGAAGCCACTCGATTCGACTCCAATCGCCTTGTATTAAGGGTGGGGGATAAGCGGCTTTTACGTGGGATCTTCGAGCATGTCGGGGCGGATTAGCTAGCTTTGGTCATGCGGCCAACAGCAAACGGCAACAGGCACAGATCGTCGCCGCTGGAAATTTGAATAAAATTAACATTACAACAACAGTAGCCGACGCCACAAAACGTTGATAAGCGCTTAACTTATCAAATGCATAAATGGGGTTCGTTTGGTTAACTTTAGTTTATTCATTTTTGAAATGTCTATAACAGAAACCCAAGAAAATATATGTAAACATAAACACTTATGAGTCTAAAAACCAGGGGAAAGGGGATAATCGTATATGTGAAATATATTTTTGTGTTTTTCATTTTGTTTTTTTTTTTTTTGACCGTTTTAGCAAATCTTATGTAGCTACTCCTTAAGCCTAGGCAATAATATTATGATCGTTGCAAACCCGACACCCGAAAGTATGCTATAAGTACGAACGCCTCCTACTTGCGACTGCCCTTGCGACACAACTGCTGTACCGCCTGCGCTGCCGCCAAGAAGCTCTTCTCGGCGCAGCGCTTGGGCCACTCCTAGGACTCGTAGAGCAGCCGCTGGTAGTGCGGCAGGACCTCGTGCCGATTCACATGCAGGCTGAACTCCAGCGCCACCAGCACAGCGAACTCCGACGAGATCAGCTCCTTGCGATTCAGCCGGAACACGCTCTCCGTCTTCTCGATCAAGCTCTTGAGGGCATCGCCCTTCACGTCGTTCATCTTGGCGCTGAGCAGCAGACAGGCGCCGGCGCACAGCTTGCGGTTGCTCTTGTTGATCAGATTGGCCAGGATGAGTTTCTCGAAGTACACGTACGCTTGCGAAATGGTCACCAGATCGATGCGCGAGTCCAGTTTGTTGATCCTGCGCATCTCCCGCTTAATGCTGTGGGAGAAAGGAAAACTATTTAGTAGCGTTCTTTAAATCGTTTTAAATTTTTCTAATAAATTGATCAGTTTTCATCGTATGCCATACATTAATATTTTACGAATCTAAATTCAAATAATAATAATCTAATTCGACACCTTGAAAAAGCCCAAATTAAGCTCAAAATGTAAATCCACAATTATAAAATAAAAATGTATCTAATTCGACACCTCAGACGAGCTGAAGGCCTTAGTTGCTAGAGCTCTTAATCTTAGTTAGCTTATAGTTTTAACTTTACGTTTGGTTTATATAAATAAATAAATAAAATTATTTTACGAATTACAATCCAAATACATAGAATATTTTTGGCATTTACATAAAAACTATCCCAATTCTTGAGGCAATAAAATCATGTTCTAAAATACTATTATCTTACCTTCTCAGCTTGCTCAGCGTTAGCTGGATGGTTGGGAACTTCTCGCGGAACTTATCGTTCAACTCCTTCTTCAGGTCCGAAGGACGCACATAGTCGATGACCGAGGTCATGTACGAAGTGAAGGTCAACAGAGTGCGATGCTTTCCGGCAATTAACTCCGGATCGTCCAAGATGCTGGCCGAGTACTGCTGGTTCTGCAAGATGTTCATAAAATTAATATAGAATATGCTCCTAGCAAAAAGAAAATAAAACTTACGCGTGCTGAATCTCCGGCCAGGATAACGCTCTCAATGTCCAAATCCAACTTGCTATCTGGCGTCGGACTTGTTGCATTGTTTCGGTTGTTGTTCTCATACGTGAAACACCTGTGAATTTAATTATATAATTTTAATACACCCAAAATAACATAGATATCTTAAGGTAAAGCGTGAGAGAAGGCGGGTTTGTGTTAGTTGAAGCATTGTTGTTCGTTGGATGTGTGTGAGAGTGGGTAGCTGGAGGTGTGTTCGTGGGTAGGGTGAAATTGGTTAGTGGACTAAAAGCTTTTCGCAGTCAACCAGGCTTTGGAATAACTAAAGCTAGTCCCATAGCTAGATTGGCTGTACGTTTTTTGTCATATTAGCTGTTTTCAAAATTTACCATTTGCCTTGACGTTTGGTTATGGTTTTTGTGCTGAAACGAAGTAGTGCAAAGCGTTAAATGAATTAGCAAAAGTTAATGCCACAAAATGTTTTCAAGTTTTGTTTTTTTTTTGGGTCAACTATTACCGAACCAAAACAAAGAAAATAACTGCTGATTCTAGCCTATCAAGCAATAAAAAATATTTTTCGATTTCAGAGTTATATAAATGCAGAAAATGTGCTGAGTTCTAGTTTATTTATAATTATTGGTTGGGTAATATCACGCTCTTCATGAGTCAGATTTGTAGGTCTTGCTAGGTCAGCTTTTGAGCTTTAAAAGCCGCAGACTCATATTACCAAGTAATACGAGAAGGCAACAAAGGAGTTTATTGAAATCGGACAAAGAATTCTACATTATTGTGAAATCTCTTTAATAAAGACAATATTCTGCACCTAGGAAATTGCATTTCGCTCAGACAAGGGGGTTTATTAGTTTACAGTGGCCGTTCGGTTTGGCTAACCATGCATAATGGCTCTTAATGGATGTTTAGAATGGTTTAGAATGGGCATGACAAAATGTAGCTGATTGAATGTGTTCAACAAAATGATACGAAAGAAGATCCAAATATGGTTTGGCACACTGGAAGCCGGCACCAACCTCGCAATGCCATGATTTTTGAGCGCCGCTGTGCCCGTGATCTCCATTTGATTCTCGAAGATGGAAGGATTCGCCGATGCATTGCCATGCTTTTTCCGCTCCTTTTCGTACTGACGTGAAGGTATCAGCAAATGGCCGTATGAAATGTCCTGCGGAAAGATAAGCGTTTGTTATTATTGAGTTCGGGATAGCTTAAGCGAAAATTTATCGACTTACCTGACCACTCTCGGCCTTCTGTATTCCCAGCAAATCAAATGGATCGAAGGGTGCATCATTAATGGAACTCAAGGGACGTGAAGTGGATGGATTCCGACGACGACGATCCTCTTTGCGAAACTCAGCTCTGTAAAGGCAGGGAATTATTAGAATCAATCAGCAGTTTAGTGCTTCCTAACTCACCTTCCATTCTTGCCCTTGTAATAGGGCAGCGATGAGAAGATGAAGAACGGAATCTTGCGCGATACCAGCACCATTCGCTCATCCCGGCCTTGTCCCAATCCCAAAGCCTGGCCGGAGGTTCCTCGCCGGCTATCGCTGATCTGGACCGACTTGCTCAGGCTGTTCCGGAAGCTGCCCGCAAAGTTGCCCGCCGGAGTCAGGCTCTCGGTGCTGCTGTCATCGGTGATGTGGCTAACGCTCGATCCGCTCAAGACATAGGTGCGTTTCAGACCGCCTCCCATGGCAATGCTCGAATTGGAGCCCGCCCGCATCCCCGGCGCCGTATTCAAACGCGCCCTCCTCTCCGGCTGCAAGTTCTGATCGCTTGCCCCATTGCTGAAGGTGCTGAAAAAGAGATACGAAGATCGGTTAGAATCGTAGCGATCTAAGGAGCAACAGGCGCTCAACAATACAAGTAGCGTGAAAAACGCGCACAAAACGATACTAAAACGCGCTGGGCTGGACCTTGAAGGCGATTTCGTTGTTCGCCCCAAGTTGTTGCTGTTTTGAAAATACGTTTTTTGGTATTTATAAATTCAATGACAAATGCCAGCGAAGATACTAGTGCTGGCAGTTTGGCGATTTGCTTCAACAATCTGGCTGTAAAAAAACTACTTTTAAGTTTTTTTGTATAATACTTTGTTAAGATCTAAAAAATATAATTTATAAAATAGAATCGTTCGAGTTTTACCCGCCCCGCGCCCAGACCAAGCAGAGGGGTCCACACTCGGCCCACGCGCGCAGTGCCGGCCCCACCCACCGCCCCTATTTTTTTTTTTTTTTTTTTTTTTTTTTTTTTTTTTTAAAAGTTTTCTTTTTCTATCACTATTTTTTATGTAAAAAAAAAATTGTTTTTCGGATAATACTTTGTTGAGATCTAAAAAAACATAATTTATAAAATAGAATCGACACTTTTTCTATCAATATTTTTAATGTAAAAAAAAATACTTTTATGTTTTTTTGTATAATGCTTTGTTGAGACTTAAAAATAAATAATTTTAAAATATAATCGTTAGAGCTTTTCCTATTTCTATCTCTATTTTGTATGTTTACCATGCCTTTACCGTAGAAATGTACCTTATCTCTAGATATTATTTACTTTTACTTGGGTTTATGGGTTTCCGAAAGTCTCTCCATCGCGGGGGCCCATTGTCACACCCCTCACGCAATGATCGATATTTTAACAGGCCCCCAGAAACGCAGAGACACAAAGATGTTTCTTTATGCGTTTTAAGGGCGATCGAAATGCGGCCCGTTTATCGCTGGGGTATTTTTGGAAATCAAACAACTCAGCGGCACACACTCGAAAACACTCGTATTCGCTCACACACATGTGCAGTGCCGAAGGGCAACCGCAACTAAAGTCAATTAGCCAACTGAAGTCGTCGTCGTCTTCTGTTTTCATCTGTGCGCCTGGTAGATTACCTTGGGATAATTGGTCTAGGTCGAGGTTACACAGTCGAAAAAGCCTGGTGGTGGTGGGGCGATGGTGAACTCCCCTTAAATTCTTGGAGGTGACGATTCTGCGTTAATTAGTCGGATGAAGTGCAAGCAGCTCGCTTTCCATTCAAAACCACCCCAACCCCCAGAAATATTATGATGGAGGTGGCGCCTAGGCTGTCATAACCCGTTAATTAGTTGGAGCATTCTAACAGGCGAACAGAAATAGTAGCTGGAATTTTATTTTACATGCTTACAAATGGAAGAGGAAGAAGAAGAGCGGGGGGAGGGGGAGAATGGGGATGACTCCAAAATGTGTGTGTTTCTGTGTGTTTGGGAGAAGAAAAGGGCCCGGCAAACATTTATTTTTGTACGTTCGCTTTTGTGTTTTCGGTTCGTCTAACTTATTGACTCGCTAATGAGTTTGTGTGTTTCTGTGTGTGTGCGTTGATAAGAGATTGGGCAAAGTGCGTATGCGAGCGAGAGGGAAGCCATCGACCTCCACTGCAACTCAAACAATTATGCAAGTGTGCGTGTTATAGTCTGGTTTTTCTATTTCGTTTTTTTTTTTTTTTTTGAAACTCCATCTATGGAGTGCTGTTCGCCTGTGACGGAAACAAACAATATTCAAATTCTAACAATAGATTTGATGAATTGAAAATTATGATTCAGAATTTTTGGGATTGTCAGAGAAAACTAAAGGTCTTCGGTTTTTGTATTCCAAAATAACTGAGAGTATTTTTAGATACGAAGTTTCAAGGCATTGTTCCTAGTTCGACATGTTTCATAACATTTCACTCAGTACAGTTCTAATTATAGAAGATCGTCTGAGTTCCAATACAAAGTATAGGGACGACCTTATACTGCTTCTGTTAAACAGCTGTCTGCTATTAACAGTTTCTGTTAATAAAACTAATCTGAAATTTATAGTTTACAAATAGTTTACATTGAAGGCTGTAACTGATAAAGAATTAAAAAAAATTTTAAAAATAAGTATTAAACTTTTAACTTAGCAAATTTGCATGCCTGTTACACACACACCATAAAACTTAATCCTTCCAGCTGTGTAAATCTGAAGATTTGCCTTTCGTCTCAAGTCTATCTCGTTCGCTTTGATTTGCAAATATTTACCAAAAACTGCTACTAAAAGCTTGGATAAATATACTTTTCACGTCTGCGTACCAGAAAGCAAGCAAATAAATCATGCCCAGAGATAAATCGAAATAAAATATTTTAATTGCGCTATCTCTAGCTTTCCTTTCTCCGCTCTTCCCCTTTTTAAGAACTCTTTATGAGTCCGGGCAATCAAATCAACTGAGTCAATTTCGCTTTTATCAGCAATCGCTTTTGTTATTGTCATCGTGGCTTTGTTGTTTTTCCTGTTATCAACTGGCCGTATGCAAACAGATGTTAATGGAAGTTAGTTTATTATATAAGTTTCCGTTTGACCAGATCACGTGCCCGTGAGCTTAAATGCAGGTCTTGTGATAAAAGCTTTAGCCAGAAATGCAAGAAAAAATCAAATATTCATTTTTATAAACATGTTTGAAAAAAACAAAAAGCATGAAAAGTGTAACTACTTAAAACCGCTAGCGAATCGCTTACAAAACGCGCGTGAAACGCTAGAAAAACGCGGATGAAATTATTTTATTTTTTGGCTGCAAATATGCAATCGAATTTTTATTAGTAAACAAAAAAAAAAATTTCTAAGCGACATCCATACAAAGATGATACTCGAAATTTTTTTATTTTTTAGAAACTAAATTCAGGTTTTAAGGTTTAAATTTTGAATCTAATGGACATTTAGAGTTTAAAATCTACCTTTAGTATAATATATTGGTACTTGAGACTTTGTTTTGGCGAGTTGCGAAGGAATGACGCAAGTTGTTCCCACCACAATCAATCTATTCGGCTGCTCTCACCTCGAACAAAAGTTGATTTCGGAACGAAACGGTGTTCTAGATAAGGAGCAACACATCCATCGAAACCCAACCGAAGCAGTGGAAAGCGGTACGGCGAACAATAGCAATAATCGTGTTAGGAAAGGAAGGGAAGGCGTAACAAAAGAATAACCGCGCTGTAAACAAACAGTCGGCACAAAATGGAATGCCAAAAAAAAACGCTAGCGTTTTCGGTCGCACAAAAACAGCGAGCGCTTTTTTGTTTACTCAAAAGTCCAAAGTAATTACATAAAGCAAATAGGCAAACAAAAATTATCTGTATTTACAAGTCCAAATGGAAGTGAAGGCTGTCGATAAAAAGCACAAACAAAGAAAATGCTATGGGGTGTTGATATAAAACTATTCGTCACTGGCCCATAATTTTAATCAAATAATTCATTTGAATAAAACAATTGCAGAATTGTTCAAAATATTCTCACTGATTTAAGTTTTTACGGCTGCTACATCATCCCACAACTTTGCTTTTTATGAACCCCTCTCATCTTAACTTCAAAGTCAGCAGTATAAAAAACCACTTTGGCAAGAGTGGAAATCAACAAATAACTGAATCACATGCAAGAGAGAACCCATTTTATCCGCTTTTAACCGCTTTTACTGCCAAATACAGGGGAAGTCATAAACGAGTCAAGCGAAAGCCACTGAAACGAACAGATAAAACATAATAATGTGACATGGCCCCACTGACGTGGAGTTGGATCATGTGTCGATTTAAATATAATAAGTCGCAGTTATTAGCATTGAGTTTAGCCGATAATAAGTGAGGGTTGTAATCGAAGGGGTCTTTGTTTTGAGTAGGATGGATGTTCAGTTGAGCAACGCAGTCAACAAAGACATTGCAATAAATATATTTACGAAATGGATTAGGCGTGTCTATGTCGTCTTTTAGCTTATCGTTCATTTCTCAGCAGACAAGCGTGGCAATGGAGCTTTATGGCCGTCTTTGTTTATTTTTCCAGAGCTTCCAGATGCACAGGAAAAAATTAGGAAATTTTCAATGGAATTTGCAAAAATAAAAATTTGTTTAAGAGCTGTTTCTAACTAACTAAAATGAGGTAATATAAAAAAAGTATTTTTTTTTATTTTTTTACAAAAGGGTAACTAATAACTTGTTGTGTTTTGCTTAAGCTATAACAAAAACGAGTTCTAGGGGTGGATTGCGTAAACTTGAATGCAGTTGCAAATTGCATACGCTATGCATTTCAAGCTTTTTGCACCACTGACACACATTTTCCCACCCTGCGGCATAGAAAAACGAACCCTTTTAAGGGCGACCTTGAACAGATTCTTTTCAGGCAAACAAGGATTAGAACCCTTGAAACGCACAAGTAGTGCGAATAAAAAACAACGAAAACAAACAAGAACAAGAACGGGGAAAACCGGTTCTTATTACGTCGTCGATTGCATAAAACTCTGCCCTCAAGGTTACCCAGTTTGGTGGAGTAAAAGGGGAGGGGGTTTGGGGAGGTTTTTCGGTTTTGGTTTGGACAGGTTTGCAGCCTCGACTTTGACATTGACATTGGACCGTGGCAGCCAGGATGAGGCCGCAAAAGCTCGTGCCCCTCAAGTTCAATGCCAAGCTTTGCCTTCGCCGGCTGAAGGTCCTCGGGTTGTAGGAAGGCCACTCCCTTTAATCATATTATATGCCATGACGCAACCTTTGAAAAGGAAGTGAAAATTGAAAATGAAAAGAATGATGGCTTGGCAAAAAAAATTGTTTACGTTTTCAGCAAAGTTTCTGATATTTTTTCTTTTTTGATTTCTCTCTCCTCTTCGCATTCCCATTCATCGGCTAACTCCACAAAGCAGCTCAGGTTTCAAAACAAAAACTGGACATAAGTAGTTTGTTTTGGTTTTCGAATTGCGACGCAGTTTGTTTTTGCGCCTGCGCAGCTTTTTGTGGCAAGATTCCCACACACCCGAAAAATGCGGCCGTTTCGAATAACATAATATTTTTGTTTTGCCGTTGCAATTTGCCGATTCAACAAGTTCTGCAAAATATTATTCCATTCTGGAGCGGAAATAGTAATGTTCGTAACTCTAGATTGGTGGGTAAAACTAGAAATTTGTTTGGATCCCCTTGAGGGAATAATATTTTTTTACTGCGAAATGAGAAGCTGGGAATACTTAGGAATTTGTTGAACCAACTAAAAGACTGCTATCCGATGATGTGGCAATAAATCACCCTTTGTTGCTCGTGAACTGAGTCACTACAATTGTACTCCATAGCTTACATATAAGAATTTACGTTGCATTTACAAAGAGAAAGGGAAAATACCAATACACCTTTTAGTAAACTTTTGTATCACCTGACATCAGGGAACCCTAAAATTGTCTTTAACGTCAATGGGATTTCTTATCGAGTGATTTTTTAATCTCTAGGACTCGATCGTTTTCACATGGCAGATAAACCTACCGAGTCTAAAAGATTGCCTATACGTTATTTATCAAGATCTTTAAAAAGTAATCTTATCAGTTGATATGTTTGTATATAATTAATTGCTGGTCATCTTGTGACAATAAGGTGCATTATAAATCTTTTTTCGACTCCATAAAAATAATATATATTTTGAGCCCCATTGTTTTGATAGATTTTGGTAGTTTGTCATTCTACTTTTAGCGTGCACTGTATGCATGCGCATAAAATAATAATTTTATTCGCTGAGAAGTCTAATTGTTAATCAGCGTACAGCCCAAACCATTAGAGTAATAATTTTTTTTTTTTTTTTTTTTTTTTTTTTTTTTTTTTTTTTTTTTTTTTTTTTTTTTTTTTTTTTTATATTTTTTTTTTTTTTTTTTTTTTGGGTGTGGGGGGGTGGGGGGGGGGGGGGGGGGGGAAAAAAAATTTGGGGGGGGGGGAAAATGGGTTTTTTTTTTTTTTTTTTTTTTGGCGAAGGGGGGGGGGGGGGGGGGGGGGGGGGGGGGGGGGGGGGGGGGGGGGGGGCGGTTGGTCTTTTCTAAATTTTTTTTTTTCTTTTTTTTTTTTTTTTTTTTTTTTTTCCCCTTTTCCCCAAATATGCTAATTGTAGACAATATCTCTTTGATGGCGCAGTATGAATTTCTAGTGCATAAATATCATAAATAAATAATATAAATAGTATCGAATGGTAATAATTAACCCAAGTTTCTAGTAACTAAAACCAAATCCCCGGGAAAATGATTTGCCTCAGCAAATGGCAATGACAGGTCGCTGACAGGCCAATTGGCTAGGCGCCAACTGCATATGTTTTGGGTGCATACATATGTAAGCCTCGGATAGATGACAATAAGTGCCCCCATACCCCGAAAACGGGTTAGCCACCAGTTGCCACCAGAGTGGCGGCACCACGCGAAAGAAACCGAAAACGCTAGGCAGAAATTCCGAAACGCCATCGGAGCGCGACTGCAAAACAAGGTCAGTTTGTCAAAGCGCATTCGACGAGTTCAACGAAACTTGTCTTCTGGCATTGGAAGTGAAAGCTCTCTGGGATGCAGTTTAGCTTTGCTCGGAGAAAGACAAAGAAGCAGCCAGAAATCAGAAATCCGAGGGGGCGGAAGTTCAAGGAGGATTACGAGCGATTTACGAGCGATTCATTGGCGTTCGCATTTTGGCGCACGCATTTCGCCTTGCGTAATTATTGCGTGTTTATGCCCGGTGCCCACTACTAGATAATAGCCATGATTCACCGCCGACAGGCCACTTAAATGCGTGACAAAACGGCGCCTCAAAATAAAGCTCCAAATTAAACGAACGCCGACGCCCCCCGACATGCAATTCAATTCAAACAATTGTTTGCACAGCTTTTCGCTGGGCACGCTCTCTAATTTACGTTAATTGAGCCGGCACACGTCGATGAATGAAGCCGATTCTCACCCCAAAAACCCCCACCCTTGGCTCAGCAAAATTTTCTGTATTTTTGGGGGATATTTTTAGCGCCGAGTGACCAGCAACAGGCCCCTAATTATGCAGCATCAGGCGTTGAAAACGTGCAAATCCCCTCTGCGAAAATACGTCACAATTGGAAAAGCGCTCTTCTGGCAATATTCAAATTTCACAAATTAAAATTTATAAATAATTTTCGATTTCAGACCGCCCAGCTGCCAAGGGGATCATTGTGTGTTTGTTGTCTGTTTTGTTTTCGCGGTATTTTGATCAAGCTGAGCCTTTTGTAAGCAAATTAGAGACCAAGTGTCAATTGGCTAACGCCAACTTAAGCGGAAATTTCAATTAACGAATTGAAAAGAAGGGGGGCGCCAAGGAAAATCGATGCCAATTATGACGACAGCTTAATTGAAATGAACAAAAGTTCAGTGATCAAGCGAAATGATTAATTTTTTATAGCCAGAAATTATTTATACATCAACAAAGAGTAAGCGAATATTAAGAGAATTCCACAGCATTTATAGAAAATATTGCAAGGCAAATGGAAAAAACTGAGCACTTGACGTCACTTGTCAATCTATTTCTGAATCTTGGAAATTGTATAGTCAATAGGAAGAATTGGAAGAGGTGAAATTGTTGATATTTCCTGAGTTTCTTCAAAGCAAGAACTATTATCTTATTGACGCATAATTTGCAATCTTTTTTATTGACCCTAATAAAAATTTATTTGAACTGAACTAATTATGTATTTGTTTGGGTATAAAACCATAATTTATAATTGACTGCAAAATATTTAGACCTGAAGTTCATATTTTTGGCATATGGTGGAAACGATTTATAATTATAGAGCTGTTTTTAAAAACTGCTTACTAATATACTGATAGGAAGACATTCCTAGACATTTTGGTAGTTCCATAATGACTTGGCTCTTTAGTTAGTTCTATGATAAAAAACTTGGATTACTCACCGTTCCCTTAGCGGCAAAAGCTTGCTGCCCGCTCCCCCGGCGACGCCACCGCCGCTGCCCAGATTGGACACCTTGAGCGGTATCTTGACGCTGTCCGAATCGCTGCCGCTCTCGGCACCCGATCCTCCGCTGCCGGCGGTGCAACTCCGTGCCTGCCGCTGTTGCTGCTGCAACTTTTGCTGCAACTGTTGCTGCTGCTGCTGCTGTTGAAGCTTAATGCTCATATTGCCACTGCCCGGAACCTGGTGGTTCTGACGACCCGACGAGGTCGGCCGCTTTATGTTGCGTCTCTCGGCCGGCACAACGCTGCTGCGATTGTGGTCGGCGGCCGGCAGGACGTTCATCAGGTATTGACCCATATTTTCAGTTTCACTAAAATGCCCGTCCCCATCGCTGGCGCCGGCGGTGCCGTCCTCCAGTCCGATGCCGATCCCGATGCCGCCATCGATGCCCATGTGGACATCGGCGCTGCAGAGGAGCGGCGAACAGAGGGAGCCATTTTGCTGCTGATGTTGCTGTTGCTGATGGTTTTGCTGCTGCTGTTGCTGCTGCTGCTGTTGCGAATGTTGCTGCTGCTGCTGCTGCGGATGATGCCGCTTCTGGTGGTTGTGGTGCGTCGCCGAGTGGCTGCGCTGATGGTGGTGCTGCTGATAGTGCGGATGAAAGCCCCCCGAGCCGAGTCCCAGCGATGATGGGTTCTTATTCTGGTTGCAGAGCAGGCTGCTGCCGAATGTTGCGCCGAATTTGGTGTCCCGATGGGTGCCATCTAACGAGATATTCGATAGGAACGAGATCGCAGCCAGTCTGCGCCTGTGTCTCGTCTTGTTGAGCGAACTTGCCATTAGGCGATTAACCCTTAATAACCAAGAGAGATTAACCGAAGTGGGTGGTGTGGGCGTGGGTCGAGTCCCTGGCTTTAGCTAAATATTACTTTAGTAAATTATATACTGTGTTGGGAATGTGTGGTTGCACTTTTCTGGAACACTCTTCGCGATTCTTCTGCACAAAACTGGTTTCGATTGGGATTTCTTTTATATTTTTACTCTCTTCTGCCTGCTTTATCTTACACTTTTCAGTCGAATCAATTAAGTTTTTTAGTCTCTAACTTGGCAGACGAGTTGAAAAACAAACTACTTGAACGCGACATGGTGACAGATTTAAATCACTTTTTATTGGCGAAAGAAAGAAATAGATTTTATTAATTTTATGCACTTTTACTAACTAGCGTTTATGCGTCGTTGCGTTGCTTTGGCTGCAAGTAGAAATAAGAATAGAAGAGAGGAATGGAATCAATAAGTGAGGGTGATAAAAAGCGGCAAGAAAGCTGTTTTTGGCCAAGAGAAGCTTTGGCAGGGTATTTGGGGAATATATGAAGAAATCATAGTATGTTGCCAAGGAGATATTAAGGTTTACTGTCTTACTAATTTGATTACTATTTATAAAGATTGTAAGAGAAATCTAGATTATATAAACTTATTTATTCCTATTTTAAATGTATATTTTTATTGTTAGGCATTATTTTAAAAAATCTTAAAATTTTTCTAAATTGAAAAAAAAATAATTTCATTAAAAACCCTTTTATATTGGATGATATTGATTCGTCGAATTTTTTGTAAACCATTTTTAAAAATACGGGTTTTAGCCACATTTAATTAGCTAAAAAATGTTTTCATAAAATCATGATTCGATTTAAGTCTAATCTAATTTTGGTTTTGAAAAACAAATTTGTAACCAAATAGAGATCGCTAAAATTCCGCTTTAAAAAATCAGTTTTACATAAAATCCAAAGACAAAGTAATAAAACTAAGAATTTTAAACCTTTTGGGAAATAGGCACCTTTTTATATTTTATAAATCAATATTTGTAATGTGGTTTTAGCAAACTGGATGCATAAATCGGAAAACTCTGTTGCCAAAGACAAAGAAAAGCTCTCCTGATGCCCGTTAAAAAAGCTGCATACGGCTCAAAGCTGCAGAGCGTGGTTATTGTTGTTGTTTTTGGGTGGCTCAGTGTGTCAGTTCAGTGGGTGGCAACTTCCAGAAGAGAGCGAAAGAGAGAGCGAGAGTGGGCCAAGACCGGCAAGGAAATCTAAGCGCTTTTCCGCACTTCCGCTTCTTCTGTTTACATTGAATCGGGAGGCCCTAAAATGCCGAAAAATTTCCCCTCGGGCAACGGGGAACAGTGAGTGGAAAATTTTCCAAAACCATAAGAAACAGCTGTTTCGAAGCAGGGAAATGGATTTTCCGAGGGTGGTTTTTACTTTGCACCCGGCCTAATTGGATTTGGCTGGACCAATTGGAATGCGGCGCACACAAGTTTGAACCTGTCCGAAAAAAAATCAATGCAGGAACAAGTGTGTGCGAAAATATTTATGACACCCACCCACTCACACGCACGCACACCACTGCCAAGTGCGTGTGACGTGTTTTTTCTTGTTTTCGATTCGCCTTTTACTTACCACTTTGTTTCCTTTTGCCCGGTCGTTGGGTGTTATTTTAATCTTTAGTCGATTGATGGTCGTTTCTATGCTGAGAAATGTTTCAAGCGCGTCATTTTGGGCTATTTATATAGTGGATTTTCGACAGACTTTGATTTTTCGCCTTTGGCTGCCAACTCGCCTGCGCTCCTCACTCTCTTCGCTCTCTTTCGCGCCGCTGTGCTCGTGTGTGTGTGTGGTGCACTCACGCAGTTGCCTTCGTTGCGTAAATTATGCAAAATGCAGGCCAACTAAAGTGTGTTTACGAAAACTTCTCGGCCGATCCGGTTACTTGTGTTTTTTGCGATTTTTCGAGCGCGTTAAGTGGACTCTGCGGAATACGCAAACGGTATGAAAATCAAATTATTGGCCGCAGCGACGAAAACATCAGCAGACGGGCTTACAAAAAATTCACGAACTGAGGGCAGTGTTGGGAAGAGCGCGATGGGCAAAATACCCACTAACGGGGGTTGCGAAAATACCGCAGTGGTATTCTAGAATATTCACTGTGGTTTGTTTATTAATAAATGAAATTAAATGAAATTATTAAGAAAATTTTAATATTCAAAGTCAATGGAACTAAAATTACTTAAACTGTCTACTACTCGGCGTTTAAATTTATGTTTTTTACTAAATTTCCAAAAGTTTTTATTCATTTATCGTAATTATAAAATTATTTTTTTTTATTAATTTATTCCATTTTTTAATTAATTTTGTAAATATTTAGCTTTTCCATATTTTAATATGTTTTGGTATTTTTTATAAGCACTACTTTTGCAACCCTCTGGCAACGCCGTTTCGATCAGCTGTTTTCGTGGGACGCGCACGAGAAGAGAAAATTGTTTGCGGCTTTTCGTGTTGTGAAAATCCCGGAAAATGGTGGCAAAAGCAAGTCAATCGCTGAATATAGAGATCAATTTCGTGAGTACCATAAACTACACAATAATGTTTAACTAACTTACCCCACTCACACCCCCAGGAAGAGGAGGATGTTCCGTACGAGGAGGAAATCCTGCGGAACGCCTACTCCGTGAAGCACTGGCTGCGCTACATAGACCACAAGGCCAAGGCACCGAATAATGGGGTAAACCTGGTCTACGAGCGCGCTTTGAAGGAGCTGCCCGGCAGCTACAAGATCTGGCACAATTACCTGAGGACGCGCAGGAAGCAGGTGCGCGGAAAGATACCCACGGATCCCATGTTCGAGGAGGTCAACAGCGCCTTCGAACGAGCCCTCGTCTTCATGCACAAAATGCCACGCATCTGGATGGATTATGGCGCCTTCATGACCTCCCAGTGCAAAGTGACCCGCACCCGCCACGTTTTCGACCGGGCTTTGAGGGCCCTGCCCATCACGCAGCACGGCAGGATTTGGCCGCTGTATCTGCAGTTCGTGCGCCGCTTCGAGATGCCCGAAACTGCTTTGCGGGTCTACCGCCGCTACCTGAAGCTCTTCCCCGAGGACACCGAGGAGTATGTGGACTATCTGCAGGAGGCCGAGCGCCTGGACGAGGCTGCCCAGCAGCTGGCGCACATCGTGGACAACGAGCACTTCGTGTCCAAGCACGGCAAGTCGAATCACCAGCTGTGGAACGAGCTGTGCGACCTCATCTCGAAGAACCCGCACAAGGTGCACTCCCTGAATGTGGACGCCATCATTCGTGGCGGACTGCGCCGCTACACGGATCAACTGGGCCACCTGTGGAACTCCCTGGCGGATTACTACGTGCGCTCCGGCTTATTCGATCGGGCAAGGGACATCTACGAGGAGGCCATTCAAACGGTGACCACGGTGAGGGATTTCACACAGGTCTTCGACGAGTACGCCCAGTTTGAGGAACTCTCGCTAAACAAGCGCATGGAGCAGGTAGCCAGCAACGATGCGGCCACCGAAGAGGACGACATCGATGTGGAACTACGCCTCTCGCGCTTCGAATACCTCATGGAGCGCCGACTCCTCCTGCTGAACAGCGTGCTGCTGCGCCAGAATCCGCACAATGTGCACGAGTGGCACAAGCGGGTGACCCTGTACGAGGACAAGCCCGCCGAGATCATCAGCACGTACACGGAGGCCGTGCAAACGGTGCAGCCGAAGCAGGCGGTTGGGAAGCTGCACACCCTGTGGGTGGAGTTCGCCAAGTTCTACGAGACCAACGGGCAGGTGGAGGATGCCCGTGTGGTCTTCGAACGCGGCACCGAGGTGGAGTATGTCAAGGTGGAGGATCTGGCGGCCGTGTGGTGCGAATGGGCGGAGATGGAGCTGCGTCAGCAGCAATTCGAGGGGGCTCTCAAGCTCATGCAAAGGGCAACGGCCATGCCTAAGCGCAAGATCGCCTATCACGATGATACGGAGACGGTGCAGGCGCGTCTTCATCGCTCCTTGAAAGTCTGGTCCATGTACGCCGATCTGGAGGAGTCATTCGGAACCTTCAAGACATGCAAAGCCGTCTACGAGCGGATTATCGACCTTAAGATCTGCACGCCGCAGATCATCATTAACTATGGGATGTTCCTGGAGGAGCACAACTACTTCGAGGAGGCCTATCGCGCCTACGAGAAGGGCATATCGCTGTTCAAGTGGCCCAATGTGTACGACATCTGGAACTCGTACCTGAGCAAGTTTTTGGAGCGATACGGCGGCACGAAGCTGGAGCGGGCGAGGGATCTCTTCGAGCAGTGCCTGGACCAATGTCCTCCCGAGCACGCCAAGTACTTCTATCTACTGTATGCCAAGTTGGAGGAGGAGCACGGTCTCGCCCGGCATGCCATGTCGGTCTACGATCGCGCCACGTCCGCTGTGAAGGAGGAGGAAATGTTCGACATGTACAACATATTTGTGAAGAAGGCAGCCGAGATCTATGGCCTGCCACGTACACGGGAAATCTACGAGAAGGCCATCGAATCGCTGCCCGAGCAGAATATGCGACACATGTGCGTCAAGTTTGCCGAACTGGAAACGAAGCTGGGTGAAGTGGATCGAGCCAGGGCCATCTACGCTCATTGCTCACAGGTAGGTTGATACATATTTATATGATAACTGGGCTCGGAAAATAACACACTCTGTAAAAAACTTGTGTTATTAACATGTTAAATGTCAAAGTGTTAAGTTCCAAAAAAGGTATTGACATGTGTGTAAAAAATTTTAGCTTACATACATATGTTATAAACATAAATAACACACACAGTTTATTTGTGTTATTTACACATCGTGTTTTTAACACAATGAGTTTTTGACATTAAAACGTCAGAAATATATGTTGAACTGAAAAATTCACGGTCTTCTGTGGGTCAAAAAATTCATATTTGCTTTGAAACGGTTAAAAATAACAATTAAGATACCCTGGCCCAATATTGATTCTTCATTTTTCCTTCGATTCGTTAATGTCAATAAAATGTAATTTTCATTTGTGTTAAAAACACAGTGTGTAAAACAAACATCGTGTTAATAACACATTGTGTAAAAAACACAAGTTAGCTGTGTGGTCTATCAATTATTTTTCACATTTTAACACTTTTTCTTTTGACACACATCTCAAAAATGTTGCTCAAACTGTAAAATAAAATTTTACATGTTTTTAACATGCGTGTTAAATTCCGAATCTTGTATGATAAGTTATCATTGATAACCTGTGAAATGTGATTTGTATCCCTCAGGTTTGTGATCCCCGCATCACCGCCGACTTTTGGCAGACTTGGAAGGAGTTCGAAGTGCGTCACGGCAACGAGGACACAATGCGCGAAATGCTGCGCATCAAGCGCTCCGTGCAGGCCACTTACAATACGCAGGTGAACATGATGGCCGCCCAGTTCCTGAACACAAACACTGGAGCGGCTGCGGACGCGGGAGCAGGAGCTGGGCCGGATGCCATGCGTGCGCTGGAGGAGAAGGCCCGACAGGCGGCGGCCGAGGCCAAGCAAAAGCCCACCGAAAAGGCGGCTTCCAATATTATGTTTGTGCGCGGCGAAACTCAGGGAGGAGCCAAGGATAAGAAGGATACGGTGGTTAATCCCGACGAGATAGACATTGGAGACAGCGATGAGGAGGAGGACGACGACGACGATGAGGAAAACGAGCCTGCAAATGAGAACGGAGCCACCGAGGCGGCCACAAAAACCGACGACGAAGGCCTTGTGATGAAGAAACTGCGCTTCGAACAAAAGGCCATTCCGGCCAAGGTCTTCGGCAGCCTGAAGCCCGCCAATCAAGCCGACTCCGATGAGGAGTAGATGTTTATATTACCTAACTATAAAGTAAATACATGTGCGTCGTAAGTTTCAAAGCCGTGGCGAAAACTATTTTGAATTTATATTTCTTCTTTTCTAAGCTCTGCAAATTAGTTAGGAATTTGAAAAAACTAAGTGGGCTATCCTAGCAATGTCTTCTTTTTGGAGGATCGTCTCTAGTTAGTCTACCCTTTAGCCCAACGGAGGAACACACCTTTTACTGTCTTTCCAAAATTATTAGGAGCAACGCTATCAAAAATTTCACTTCTCTATCTTCTCCTCCACTAAAAAGCTGAGCAGACTAAAGATGGCATCCACACGCATGATGAACGTTTTAACCCGCAATCGCAGCTTATACCGAAGGGTCCAACAGCATCATTTGCAAGTCTTGAGGGGATTAGCTGGAATATCGGACAAGTGCGACAGCAAGACGGTGATCAAGGGCGTGGTGGTGGGCGTGTACTCCAAGGAGGGCGACGGCAAGGAGGTCAAGATGACGTCCAGCGGCGAGAAGTTCGACGACAGGACGCAGGGCAAGGTCTCCGAGTTGCTGCGCGAAACCGGCATCAAGGGAGACCTGGGCAAGGGTAAGGTCTTCATGAACGTGGACGCCGAATTTCGGGCAGTGGCCGTTGTGGGTTTGGGTCAAGAGGGCGCCGGCTTTAATGACCTGGAGAACATTGACGAGGGCATGGAGAATGCCCGCGTGGCCGCTGGCGTGGGAGCCCGCGCCCTGCAGCTTCAGGGCTGTACGGAGGTCTTTGTGGACTCCATGGAGTATCCGGAACAGGCGGCCGAGGGCAGTGCGCTGGCCATTTGGCGGTACAACAGCAACAAGCGCAAGCAGGATCGCACGCATGTGCCCAAGCTGGATTTGTACGACTCACCGGATGTGGATGCCTGGACGAGGGGTCTCTTCAAGGCTGAGTCCCAGAACTTGGCCAGGAGATTGAGCGATTCACCGGCCAATCAGATGACTCCCACAATATTCGCCCAGTCGGCGGTGGATGCTTTATGTCCTTGCGGCGTTTCCGTGGAGGTGCGCTCCATGGATTGGATAGAGACGAATCACCTCAACTCGTTTCTGATGGTGGCCAAGGGCAGCTGCGAGCCGCCGGTGGTCCTGGAGGTCAGCTACTGCGGCACGGCGCCCGAGGATCGACCTATACTACTCCTGGGCAAGGGATTGACCTACAACAGCGGTGGGTTGTGCCTGCGTCCCAAGAATTGCCTGCACATGTACCGAGGTTGCATGGCCGGAGCAGCGGTTTGTGTGGCCGCTATCCGGGCAGCAGCTGCTTTGTCCCTGCCCGTCAACATCTCGGCGGTGCTGCCGCTCTGCGAGAATATGCCCTCCGGAATGGCCGTGAAACCGGGCGATGTGGTGACCCTGCTGAACGGCAAGACCCTGGGTATCGTGGATGTGAGCAAGGCCGGCACGGTTGTGATGGCCGATCCCCTGCTCTTCGCTCAGACCACCTATAAGCCGCGTCTGGTGGTGGACCTGGCCACCGTGGGCTACGGCGTGTGCGCTGGCCTCGGCGAATCAGCCGCTGGAATGTTCACCAACTCGAATTTCATAGCCAAGCAGTTCGAAAAGGCTGGTGGCCTCACCGGCGATCGGCTGTGGCGTTTGCCCCTGTGGCGCTACTTCAAGCAGCTGGTGACCCCGAATCTCACCTTCGACATCAGCAACCGTGGACTGGGACCCGCCTCCAGCTGCATTGCCGCCGCCGTGCTGCACGAACTGGTGCCCTGCGCCGATTGGGCCCACATCGATATCCGGAATGTGGGCATGCTGACGCGCCATAATCCGCTGCCGTATCTGCTCAAGGATCGGATGACCGGCAGACCCACACGCACCATCGTGCAGTTCCTTTATCAGATGGCCTGTCCGGACAGCAAGTGATCCTGGATCGTCTGCTAGTTTCCACGTTTCTCGTTTCATTTCACTCATGTTTTGTGACCCTGTTTTCGGTGTTTGTTATTTTCCCCATTCTGTGCCCATGTCAAGGGCTTGTCCAAATTTATTGTTTAGTGTTCCGTGTGCAGCTAAGGGATCCCCGGGTTTTACTGACAACGGATCTACTAGAATATTACTGTAATTGACTAGCATCTATGGAGCATCTCCCAGCTGCACAGAATTAAATGGTTTTAAAATGCAACAATTTCTAGTTTCATTTTGACTATGTAGCATATAATGTGAAATCCAGCGTGAAATGTGAAAAGTTTATGAAGGGTTAGAGAAGAAACTTTTTTATTTTGATACGAAGAACCATCCAAAATCGCATACTTTTGGAATAAATACTGATTTTTTTCAGCAAGGGCAGTTCTTTTGTAGGTCTGTTTTGTGGACGTAATGAACTGATCAGCATCCTTATTTAATTCAAAAGTGTTTCAAATATTGACCAGACAAAAGTTAAGACAAATTGTGTGAGGCTCAGATGACACATTCAATTTTTAGCGTCAATTTATTGTGACAATTTTTCATTTGTGTGAGTTTAAAGAAGTGCAAGCGGGTCAGGATTAATATGATATCGCGCTTTTACTATTGGAGTTAGTGGTAGGGCAGCCAAAAATATTTGATTCTTTCTCGCGCTCGTTTAAAGTCCCATTCAAAAAAAATTGCTACAATAAATTGACGTTAAAAATTGAATGTGTCATCTGAGCCTGATATGACTTCGAAAAAAATTTTTTTAAGGTATGGAGAGAAATTTGTATCATTTATATTTGGGTCGAAGATTGAAAGGATCTTTGACTTTAAAAATTGACTATATTTAGGAAAAAGAGCGGTAAGTCCTTAAAAAGAGGATCAAGGAAGCGTAGTATTCTTTTTTGTACACATGATACACATTCTTCTTTTGATTTGCTATAAAATGTTTCGCTTTCTCTAAAAAATGAAAATTTTACAAAATGTAAAAAATTAATTTCTTTGTGTCTTATAGTTTTGAAACAAACACATTTATATTTAAGCGTGACGAAATAGAATTAGATATCAACACGTTTGTATCTTGATGTTGCGACTACGTTATGATCCAACCATCAACCATTCTACGGCTATATATTCATAGAACTCGCCTTCGCACACTCTTCGCTTCGTCATTACTATTACATGAAAATTAAAACGAACTTTTCAGTTTCTGTTTTTCCCTGTTTTTCAAGTGATTTATTTTAGGGCTTTTGAAATATGTTTTCGTCTGACCCCGTCACACATCAAATGTCACTTACTTCAGTTAATTGAGCGAGATTGCGAAATGGGAGCAGGGAAAGTGTTTTATATAAACTTAACTGCTCTGGTAATTCCAGCTTTCCACCCTTCCCTCTCGGTCATTCCACTACCAATCTTGCTGCTGGGCCGTTTCTTGTTGTTGCAACTCAGTTACGAGGACGGCTTATTAGCCTAATTGCGTGAAGTTGGCTTTAATGAGTCGAAAAACGGTGCCAAGCCAGGCCCACAAAAGGCCACAAAGCAAAAGCCGCCTCTTGTTGTTGCCGCTGTCCTGTGGTGGCTTTGAATTTATGACACGGCTTTAATGGGTTAACTGGGTTAATGCTCATCCCTCAGCTCATCAACTATCCGGCTCACTCCCCCCATTCTTTGGGGTCCCTTTTGCATAGTTCTCTGGCTTGAATTTTTGACAATTAAGCCAACATTTTCGGTCCCATCTTCACTCCCCTCGATTTCGGAGGAGGATGAGATAAGAGGGGATGCGACTTGGAGGACCCTCGCCAGCTAAAAGGCCAGAGAGTGCGAGTATCTTAATACGACGACATTTTGCACAAGTCATTAGGCCCTGCGAAATGATAATTTTTGAAGCATTTTAGCATTTACCAATTTTGGAAATACACTACGAAAGGTTGGGTGTAATTATTACATCTTACAAAGAGTCCATTACTTCAATAAGGAAAATATAAATATTTAAATAATTGAACTTATGTTAAGCACTTACCCTAATCAACTAATCTTAAAATAGAAAAATTTAAGAAAAATGTAGCTTATCCTTTTTAAAATAATATATTAAAGTAGTTTAAAGATGTAATAAAGATTTTTTATAAAATGCTTAACTTTAAAATATATTCTTACTATAGGCTTACTTTAAAAATATTGTTTTGGTTTTAATTTTACAATTTTGAGTCCATTTTCTTCTTTGCATGTTAAATTTAAAGTAGGCTTTAAACACCGCATTTCCATACGTTTCCGTTTAAGCCTTACTTTTAATTTAGCATTCTGACGAGAAAACGTTCCTTAACCTTTTGATTATCTGATCTAATCATGAAACGTCAAGTCCGATTAAAGTAGGTACCCTTTAAATGTGAATTTCGCTCTCTACCATCACGTAGAGAATTGGACCGTTCGACTTTGTTTGAGCGTTAAACATTTGCCCTATCCACTTAACGTTTTCTAACTGATAACTCCGGCACTTCCCCTTGGGTTGGAGTGCAGCCAAATGAATTTGCTAATGAGCAATCAGGCTTGAAAATATGCAAGTCGACCGGGGGCACTTTAAAGACTCTCCCCCGACCATTAACCCTCGAAAGCCCAACAGCAGCAGCGTTAATCATTTACAGCATCAGTTGCCGCAACACCAGCCACAAAAGCCCAAATTATGATTATTTAAAGGCATAGCGTGGAAATTAGCGTTGGGCATTTTGAGATTCGGACAGTTGCCAAGGCAGCGGTGGGTTCGGTCTTCGGAACAGGACCAGAATCAGGACCACCATCCGCAATCCCATCGGCCTGCTTTGGCTGCAGCCCAGCGGCGAAAGGAGCGCAAAAAATAAATGAAAATGAAATCCTTTTTGGCGGCTGCTGTTTCGGGGGTGTTCTCGACTAGAAAGAATTGCAATTGTGATAAAATTCAGCGTAACTAATGCCGACCACAGCAAAATGCGATAAATCGCTGGTTGGGTTCATGTTTGTACCCTTTTTGAACAGAGTCCTTGCGTTATATTAATTTAAATGGTGGTGGAATATTTCCTGAACAATTGAAATAACTTTAATTTTGTGATTACATAGCACTTTTAATTTAAAGAACTTCAAGCTAGGGTGGTTAAAAAATCGATAGTGGACACTATCAATGTTTTTGGCTATCGATGGTGGTCACTATCGATACTATCGATAGTATCAAAAATTAAAGAAAATAAAAAGCAAATTGTAAAAATAAGGGAAAATTATGAAAAAAAATTATTGAAAATGTGTGGGTAACTCATAAAAATTATGGGAAAGAAACGATCTAACTTTTACAGCGATTAAAGTAAAACAAAATTCGATGTTGAGCTTTAACAATTAAAATACCGTAGTTTTTTAAAGTATATACTTTAAAATACTTTTTTCTCTTAAAAAATACCAGAAGTTGGATGTAAAATCCAATTATTTTTTTGGAGCGATAGTATCGATTGTGGGTTTAAACCATCGATGTTTCCTAAGTATTTAAACCATCGATAGTATCGATAGTGCTATCGATTTTTTACCAACTCAACCCTACTTCAAACCTTCTGGCACGAAGCTATACTTATAGATCGAACTATTTACCAAAATTCTAAATGATTTGCTGTGAACATTATTAAAACAAATACAAAAGTATTTTGAACTCTATAAAAACTGGTTTGTGTTGTATAAAAATACAATTTATGTAAAAACACTTCATTCACTTCCGTTCTCGTTTTTGTTTAAATACAGTTTGCGACTGAAATGGACAATGATATGAATATTCACTTACGAAACGAGAACAAAGTTATAAAGTTCCGATTTTAATGTTTGTCCTTTTTGTGAGTCGCCTTGATGTAAATTGGATGTATAAAAGCTCCATTTCACTCACAACATTTTATTTTTTTTGTAGATATCTGGCTGAGTTTTGCTAATTTGTTATAGATTTTTTTTTCCATTTCTGACAATTGCACTCTATAGCAGGATTGGGAATTTGTTTTTTTGTGGAATAAAGTTTTCAACTGAAATTTTTCACTAACAAATAGAGATTTTATACAAACCCTTACAGTTAAAAGCTCCGATTTTAATGTTTGTCCTTTTTGTGAGTCGCCTTGATGTAAATTGGATGTATAAAAGCTCCATTTCACTCACAACATTTTATTTTTTTTGTAGATATCTGGCTGAGTTTTGCTAATTTGTTATAGATTTTTTTTTTCCATTTCTGACAATTGCACTCTATAGCAGGATTGGGAATTTGTTTTTTTGTGGAATAAAGTTTTCAACTGAAATTTTTCACTAACAAATAGAGATTTTATACAAACCCTTACAGTTAAAATTGAATGTGGCAGGAATGGATTTTTTCGTACAAATAATTTCCATTAGTTCAAAAACTACGATTTTTAATTGTTTTTGTCCTCCTTGATGTTAATTGGTATGGATTTTTCCAATTTCACATTTCACTTACAAAATCCGATTTTTTTAGGATACTAGAGTGTGGCGATTAAAAGGATTTTCTGAGAAAATCACGCTTCAGAATATTTTTAGAATTGCGAGTTCAATTTTTATACAAATTTTAAAGTCCTTTTATTAAATAAGTGTGGGTTTTTTAAAGTTTATTATTCTGTGTCCCCCCTATTAATTATACGATGTATGAGTTAAAGTTGTAGGGTAGATGAAAAAGGCAAGTCAATGTCAATCAAAGGATAATAAAAGATTTATTATTTTAGAATGTATCTTAAGGCCGTTAGGGCATCGCTGCATCTATCTAATGAATTAACCCGTTTTTCGCATATATATTGCTTGGATATCGCATTGCCCGATTTAAGGGGTTGAGGCAGGGATGGCTGTTGCCTTTTGCGGTCGGCTCGGACGGTTTGTCCCCGTCTAAACTTTTGTCGACTTTTGTGCGGCTTTTTATTCCCTCAGTTCTTCACTTCGCTTCCGTTCCTTTTACCATTTTCTTTTTTTTTTTGTGGGTGTCTGTACATTTTTCTAACATTGCCTTTTGCTTTGTTTCCTTTTGGCGGGGGCGGTGGAGATTTAGTTTCGCTGGAAATGATAATTTTCACTTGAGCGAGCACGTGAAAATGGAAACGGAGGTGGGGGCGTGGCAGCGGTTGGGCATCTGCTATAAATTGCCAATTAACGGCAGGTTCTGCTCTGCGGTGGATTTCATTTGCATTTCGATTCGGTGCCACATAGTATAAATAACCAAAGAAATGTCATGTGCCATGCTGCGTATACTTGATATTTGTATGCGCCTTCGCGTTTTAGCTCGGTCTTTTGGCCACTGTGCCCGTTCTGAACCCCTTTTCTCGCGACCCCCGACCTGTCACGTTTCACTTCGCCGTCCGGCGTTGAATTCAAATGCAGTCGATCTAGACCCTCCCCCTACCACCCCCCACAGCATCACCCGCTTTTTCTGGTCAAGCATCGTGCTAAATTCGTTGCGGTTTTTGCGGTTTCCTTGGCTCGTTCTTGCTCAGTTGTTTTTGTCCCTCAAAATACTCACAATAAATACACAGCGCATCGGCAGCGGCAGCGGCCCGAATCCGGTTCATTTGCAAATTGCAATCGCAGCGGCAAAAAAATTGCCAATGAATAATTGACCGTGTGTGGTGAATATGAATGAGTGGACACACGAAAAATAACCTAAATTCTACGTTTCAATCTTGGGAATGCATAAAACATTTTTTAAAAGTCAAATATTTAAATTCACCTCTTTTTTAATATTGAAAACTTTTTGACTAATTGGTTATTCTTGTTTTTATTTTTAATCTGTTAATAGTTATCTATTTATAAAAATTGTCTAAAATAATATTCTAATTCTTGTCATCAAGAGTGCAAAATTGTTTGTACTCCTATCTTTTTTGTAGGATTATTCATCAAAGGATTAGGCTCACACAAATCAAATCATAAACTAATCAATTTTCCGCAATCCCCTTATCTCTCTTTCGATCAGTCATTACCCCTTTAAGCGCTTATCACATTTCGGTTATCACTAGTTTTATTTTCGTTATTGCTTGTTAAACAACCAACGAAACAGACAAATAAATTATGGCTCATCTAACGTTCCATCGAACTATGCATTGCGCATACGACGCGTTGGCCACTGCCTCTGTATCTATCGGTACATAAAACTGTCTGGGCAAAATGCTAAACAAATAGCCAACAACAACTTGGACAGTGCATAAACATGGTATAATATTAGGGGTCCTGCTACCACCCAATAAACGGCAACAGCACAAATTATGTTTATTTATTTATTTTTAACACGGCCCCTCTTCAGTCCACTGGAAGATAAGCCCTGAATGGCTGGCAATCGGTTGATTCGCCTAATGCATATATGCATAATTCGAATGTATTTGCCATAGATAATACAGTGCGTTTCATAGCTGTTGGTCTTTAAAATATTCCATGCATAAATCAATATACACTTGCTTGGTATTATAATATTGGTCTGAACTTTGTGATTTTGTAAACCCAGATAAAGTTTTTTTTTATAAATATATATTTAGAAAACACACAATAGAAATTTAATACGTCATATTTATTATATATGAATTCATTTGTTTTTAACTTTTTGTTTTTTATTATATTTTTAGAAATCTTTTACAAAAATGTCGTATACATTAAATCGTGGATTTATATTGGCTGCTAGTTATAAATAAAACTGCCAAATTAAATTGAAAGTGAGGGTTCAAATCGCATAAAGGCACTCCTTCCCCAACGAATACGCAACACTTCTCCATAGCTCAATTCCATTTTTGTCATTTTCGGTTATTGTGCAAATTGTGTTATTTTGGTGTTCCCAGAAATGCTTTCTCCTGATTTAATTAAATTAATTTTCTTTTTAATTCCATGAAACACATGAAACGAAATTGTAAAGGTTTTTGTAGTATTCCTTTAAAGATAAAATCTTCTCCTGGAACTGATTTCAATTCAAATTGTCAAAAAGGTTTGGGAAAAAAATAAATAAAATATATTTGTGGCGTCCGAGTGTTAATACACACGCGCATAAAGGCATAATTTACGAATGGCTGTTGGAGTATTCGCATTTTTTTACATTTTTATATTGCATTGCAAATATACAGCTGCGGTCAAAGTACTAGCTGTGAATAAAAACCTTTAAAGTAATTCAAATAATTTAAACGTTCGAAAATTATTTTTGATAAACAAAAAAACATATTTACTTACAAAATAAAAAGAAAATAAGAACATTTTGGGATTAAAAATAAGAAAACCTAAGAATAAAATAAGATATCTTGGATTAAACACAACTTTTTCATATACATTTTAAACCCGATTTAGTTCTTATTCTTGCAAAAACTCCTAATAATTTTAATACCGATGTAGGTGGAACCGAAAAAAGAGAAATAATAAAATATATGCGAATATCTTGTGCATATCGGGAGATGAAACCATCCCGTTCCTCGTAGCCAATCTGGCGCTGCCATTCGCATCCCAATTGAGCCGCACTGCGTGCTCTGGCCACAATGGAAGGCATTAAAATTAGTTTATTTGAGCCCGGCTGTGCCACTGGGCATTCCCAATCGGAACAGCCTTCCGCCCACTCCATGGCCTCCGCCCATTTCCCATTTGGCCACTGGTTGTTCGGTGCATTTCTCATACGCAGTGTGTCCCATCAGCAGTTGTGTTTCTGGTTTTCCGTTTATCGCCTGCATTGTTTACCAACTTCTACCCCAATCCGCACGTCTGGCCATTTGTTATTTATTTTAAGTAATTATTGAGGGAAAATTTAATGTTAAACAACTTGATAGGATTTGCGAAACCTTATCTTTTAAGAGGATTATGCATGCAAACTTCATGCACTTCATATTTTCAAATTAGGCGAGCTTAAATAAACCATAGCAAAAAGCTGAAGAGCCATCGAAATAAATTCGCGTAAAAAATCGTTGTGCCTTGATTTATGCATAGCATTTCGTTTATTTATTTAACAAAATTCCTATGCTAAAATGCAAATTGCCCAGCGGACAGTCAACGTCATTGTCATCATCAACTTGCAATTGATTAATGGGCGAGCAAATAAATTATGGCAGTTTATTTGGCCACATTGGGCGGCGTGAAAAAATACCATTAAAAAACCGAAAATGCATGGCCTACAAAGAGTGCACATAAATTTCACAGAAACTTGTCAAAATCAAAAGCCCGGAAATGTCACATTACATAAAGGCGAAACGTATTTGCAGTTCAGACCATTCGATATTTATTTAGCCATCGATAAAGGCCGGGCAAACAAAGAGCCAAGCCCATTACAACGCCACCGAGCCGAGAGTTCGAGCCGCCATTACAGGGTATCAGACCCACGCGGGAGGTGCAGACACAGGCCTCCACAACCATGCCCGTCGGATGGGTCTGTCGATAGCACCCGTTGCTGCTGTTCACATTGGCGCACATGTACGTGATGTTTTGTACTGCAATATTAAGTTTATTATATAGATGCTCGTGCACTTTATTAGAGGGAGGAGCACACTCACTTCCGCCTTTGAATATGTAGGAGTATTTCACGCATGAGCGACCGGGCGACATTTGGCACAGAAAGTTCTCGCGGTCCTCCGTGGTATTTTGCCACAGAGCCTTCACATCCGGCACAGTATCGTCGGCTGTTAAAGAGATTTTTGTATAAAATAAGTATAAATATTTTGGGCGAGCAGTCCAAAGATTTTCTGGATGGCAGACACAAAGAAATATTTCAACACAATTTGCGCAATGTGTATTTTTTAAACAATCTTATACATTTTTCTTGTGTCTTCTATTTTTTACTCACGTGTCACAACCAGTGGTTCCTCACAGGGTATTTCATTGAAATCGCCCACTCTGGAATCGCAGGTTTCGGTCTGAATATTTGAGTGATTCTCGTAGGCACCCACCCACGTAAAGTGAAAGCACTGCGGAGCTTTAATCACCGAAAATTAGAAATTGTAAAATTTAAATTTGGTTAAAATCATAACATTTTCTCACTTTCAGCCAGCAGATGACAAACGAACAGGAGCAACGGCAGCCACAATCGGTGAAATTTCAGTGGCATTGCCGATAAGATTGTTGTTTTCTGAGAATATTCTCCTTTATTTTTAGGAGGGCGGTTCGATGAAGCCACTGTGAAAGACAAACTGATAATGCGGCGATGGCAATCAAAACGATCGATCGATGGGCAGAGATTGTGCCTTATCAATAAGTTTACAAACACTTGTCATTCACTTTTGTAGAGCACCTTTTAATAACTTCAAAAGCAGTTAAGTACGTATAATGAGATTTTCAAGAAGAATTAATCCTCAACTTTCGATTGTTAATAATTAGAAACCCCCTTTTTCTTTTCTGGTAATTATTTTAATAAATTTAATAAATTATTTTCAAGAAGAAGTTAAGACCATTTTAATTGTTATTAAGTAGAAAAAACCTTTTTCTTTTTTGGAAATTATTTAATAAATTAAAAGGCCAATTTATTTCAAGAAAAAGTATGCCCTAATTTAATTGTTTTTAAATAGAAAAGAATAAGGAATGTTAATTATTTGAAATTAAATTAAATTGAAATTTATTTAACGCCTTTTAAAAACACCTTTTTTTGTTACTTTTCCATTTTTCATTATTATTTGTTGTGAATGATATTATCAATAAGTCAAGCCAAATGCGCAGATCTTTTGCTGTGGTTTTTCTTTACACTATTAATTTTTGAGTATTTCCTATTGCTTTGATTGCAATCAGCATTCGATAAGCGTTGTTATCTCGTCTTTCCCACCTTATCTCGATTTTTATGTTTTCCCTCGACAAAGAAAGTGTCATAAATTGTATATAATTCCGTATTCCTTTGACATCGGAAACGGGGCGGAATGAAGAACTTATGCAAATGGCATTTAATTAAATTCAAACAATCGAGCGGGGACGCCGGGGAAAATGGAACAATTAAATGGGAGCAGTTGGTAAAATTTTTAACTAAACTCTGCAAATTGTATTTGTTGTTAATTGTTCAACTGTCCTGCCCCGAACCGGCAAAAAGTCCAGCCCACAGCCTTTGCTCTCGCAAAATGAGTTTGAAAACAAATAAAAATGTCAAACGAATGAATAAAAGTTGTCTAATTTAATTTGTTTAGCAGGAGCAACGGCAGCAGCCATTGGACACTGAGTCGCACAAGTACTCGCACACTCACGTAGTTGCCAAACATTTTCGTAAATTGAATAAGCACGGAAATTTGTGTGCGGCATATAGTAGGGGCGCTTGGCTCGCTCCTTGCACTATTTTTTAAATTTAATTTTTAATTGCTCAAAACAATTAAAATTTATTTGCAATTTTGTTTTTACGTGTTGGCTTGTGTTTGTTTCGTTTGGCCAACTTTTCCAGCTAAGCAAACCAGCTGCCATCGCAAAACGTGCCCCGCAAACTTTTCTCCCCAGTGTAAATTGGAAAATAAGGCTGGGAGCTATATATACATACTTAAATATAACACCCGATTCGCTGGCTTTAACTTGCACTTTGGGTACTGGCCTTCGCATCGCATCCATCAAATCAAAGGCCAAACCTTTGAACTTTTCCAGTCAATTCACCGTTAACCGTTACATGATAAGCGCATTTCCCAGCGTTTCCTTTCACCTATTTCCCCCTAGATTCCACTGTCTTCCATGATGGATGACGTGAGTCATTGCCCCGGGGGCTAGTATCAATCACAAGACGGAAATTAGCGTTATTCATACATTTTCAAGCCAAGCTTTGTCAGTCATGCGGAAAACATGTCACTTCAGATTCGCTTTTCGCTATAACTACTTAAAGGGAAGAGTTTTGGAAGGGTACTATCGTTTAGAAGCTTGTATTTATTTATAAAAATAAAACTTTTGGTGAGCTTAAGAAAATAAAATATTTTTAGATAGATATGTGTAAGTACTTAAATAACACCAGTTTACAAAAAAAAATCGATGAAATATACCATGAATGAAACCTTTGTTTTCCGGTAAGGTACGCCTTCCTGATTAAGAAAATTGCACTTAAAATTTTTTTTATGGATAAACTTTTTTTTAAGTGTAAAAAACGTTTTTGACACTTTTTTAATTTCTAACTTGAGTTGTGGCTAACCGATTTCAACCATAAATGACTCATTTTACAGGTAATAGAATGCCCTCCAACTTTTTTATACAATGCATTGAGTTCCATTCATTAGTTTAGAAGCTACATATCGTCAAAGTTGAAAAAGTTAGAAAAAATGAAAAATGCTTCGTTAAAAATACACGCCTAAAAACCGAAATAATATATTGATGCCATTTAATTTATTTTTGATAATAATTTAAAATTCAAATTTATAATTAATAAGTAATAATGTCCGTCTGTCCGTCTGTCCGTCCGTATGAACGCTGAGATCTCGGAAACTATAAAAGCTAGAAGATTAACATTTTGCATGTAGATTCTAGGAGTTCCTACGCAGCGCAAGTTTGTTTCAAAAGGGTGCCGTGCCCCCTCTAACGCCCACAATCGCTTATATACGATTTTAAAAATTTCAATATTTCGGAAAAGTAAAAATGCAGTTTAATTGTGTATTAATTGTATTTATCAATACCTATCGAAATGTAGAAGAATTTTTTTAAATCGGACCATTCGTTTAAAAGTTATGGCGGATCAAAGTTTTTATCTCCATCTCCTTCGCACTCCCTTTGGCTGAGTAACGGGTATCTGATAGTCGGGACACCCGACTATAGCGTTCTCTCTTGTTTTCTTTAAAATTTATGGTTAGTCCACAGATTCCATTACATAATTAATGAAAGAAAAAATTAAAGTAATTGCAAGTAATTTCTATATTTGCGAATTATTTCGATTTCGGTATTTAGCTTTAACTTTCAGCCAATTCCAGCCAACTATTACCATCCTTTACGACTCTGCCAAACACTACCCACTCATTAATTATGCAAATGTTTTGATTTGGTCATGCTACAGGCTTAGGTACAACAATACAGGAAAAATTATGTTGCCAAAATGCAAATGTTGCGCAAGATGGTTAAGTTAGGGAGCGAAGTGGAGGGGGAAGATCGCAATCATAAAGAGTGCCATGTGATTAGCAGAAGCCGTTGGAGCAGCCTTTCGAATGGCCCAAAGTTGTTAACAGAACTGAACAGCCAAGCACACACATCCTCCATCCTTTCCTTTCTTGGGAAATTGTGTGCCCAGCTTTAGCGAAAGCAAATGTCACTTGGGTCTTATGGCGGGCCTGCATAAAATTTGCATGCGATTAAAATTGATAAATTGCCAAAGAGGATGTGTGAATGGGAATGGTTTGCTCGAATGGCCCATACAAACACCCCCCACCACCCAACAATGGGATTCAATTAAAAGTGGCACTCAGAGAAAACATTTTATTACGGTATAAGAAGTAAAATTATTATAAAAGTAGAAATATTAAAACATTTTTATTTTGACTAGTAATATTACGGTAATTAATTTGTCATTAATTTTGTATGACTGTATTAAAGAAAGAACGTTTTTTTATACCCTTGTACAGGGTATTATAATTTCAGTCAAATTTCAGTCAACGCAGCACACTGGGCCAGCCGATCAGATTTTTGGCCAAAAATACGTTTTTCTTTTTTAAGAAAATGACCAAATTGAGTTTGGGATCCTTTTTATAATACATTAAACTAATTTATGTCAAAGTTTCAAAGAATTCGGGCAAGTAGTTTTCTTTTACCATATTTGCAAAGTGAAAAATTCATAAAATATTGATGGAAATGAAAAAAAATTTAGAAGTCAAAGATGCTGATGTTGCTGTTCGACTTCTTTCCGAAACTTGCAGAAGGGATTATTTTCAACAAGTAAAAAATATAATATAGCTCGTATGTCTTACTTGTTTGCTAAAATAAATGTAATTGTTAATTTTTACGCTTTTTTTCAGCAAATGAGTACTTTGCTTTTCGAGTGCCTTCGAGTGCCATCCCCAAATTAGTTCATTCCTTCAAAAAAAAATTCGTTGATCAATTTACTAAAAGCGTAGCCCACCGACTCGATGCGGTTTTGCCTTAGTTTTCGGTAATTTAAGTTTTAATTGAGGGCTTAACTCGAAGTCGAGCTATTTTGAAGAGCTTAGCTAAGAGAGCCCAAGAGTATGCCATACTTTAATTCTTCAGGTTTTGGTGAACATTTTGCGCTCAAAAATTTGATTTTAGTGTGACTAACATCTAAAATCTACTTTTTACGTACACTAATCGATTATGGTATTTTCCAAACCTAAATCTATCTATTTAATCAGGACTATGCAAATAAAAATGTAGCATTGTTTTGTGATGACTTCAGAATATGTCAAATTAACATTAAACAAATCAAAAAACAATATTTTTAAACAATTTTTTTTACATAATTTGATTATATAAAACTTAAAAGGTAAGAAGAACAAAAAAATAGAAATTTTTTTTAAATCGATTGTTTGATAAACGTTGATGTGGGAGCCTCCGAAAGGTGCACTTTTTAACGGTTCATAAATCTTAAATGACAAAATATTTTTTAGTGATGTTAATTTTTTTTAGTTTGTTTTATCTCATACCTTATTGTTTTCGAAAATGGAAGAAGTGCGTCTTCTAGTAATTTTTTAAAAAATAAAAAACCGAAAAGGACGTAAAATTTTACGACTTTGGTCTGGATTATCTATATCATATAAAATTCCAAGAAATTTTACTTTTAGTTCGTTGGAAAGTTCAATCTTTTAAGAAAAAAACGCAAAAAACTGCATCCTTCTAACTGTCCTAGGAAAGAAATTACAGATTTTTGGCCAAAAAATTAACTTTCTGGCCCAGTGTGCGCAGTGAAGGAGACGTTTCCGACCACATAAAGTATATATATTCTTGATCAGCACCAATAGCCGAGTCTATCTAGCCATGTCCGTCTGTCCGTCTGTCCGTCTGTCCGTTTCTATGCGAACTAGTTTCTCAGTTTTAAAGCTATCGCGATGAAACTTTCCCGAAAGTGTTCTTTCTATTGCAGGTAGTACATATGTCGGAGCGAGCCGGATCGGACCACTATATCTTAAGGCTCCCATAGGAATATTCAAAAAAATATATGAAAATTCATTGTAACTTTGTAGGAAGTGGGCGTTTTGATTTTTGACAACTTAAAAACAAAATTTAAATAATAGGCACGCTGAATCTGGAATCCCTGGAACTGCACCGAGTGAGCATTAAAATATAGATATTTACTTTATCTACAAGGGTATATAAGCTTCGGCTGGCCGAAGCTAGCTTCCCTTCTTGTTAGATATTATTTAAAAATACAAATGGTTGTTACATTTTCATTAATTTCTAATTTAGCTAAGATCACTTCACTTAAAAAACTGTTTATTTAAATATTTTTATATTTATGTGACGTTAGATAAAAAGCAAATCTAATTAAAATAAATACTATATGTTTTTAATATAAGTAAGTTTTCATATTATAATAGTTCATTTGCAGCTACATTTGGTATACAATAGTTTTGTAGTATTATCGGGATCCACACATCTTACAGCAGCCTGGGTGCGACAACTGCTGAACATCACCTACAAGTGTAAGTAAGAGGCTAATGTCTGTAAATTTAATAAGGCGTGTTGTCGCCGAAAGCTCCATTTCCCCCCACACTCCCCTCGGCTATTCCTGATGACTTGCTAAACCGATTTGCTAAATTACAAGGTCCCCCAGTTGGCAACGCAGCATCGCATCTTTTGTTCGGCGTACACAAGTCGACTCCCCGCGCGTCTCTCTAATTACGCCTCCGAGGCGCCGGCGAGTCCGGATCATTATGTCACCTGTACGAAAAATGCCGCACGTAATCCGGAAACTGCACGACGGACACGAGGAGGAGCTCATTGTGCGGAAATCGCATTTGGGGCAGATAGCACCGCCTAACTAACGACCAGCCAACTAATACGATTAGTGTCATAAGGTGGAGTATCACCCAGCGGAGGAGCTCTTACACTGCTTGAAAATGTTACTGCATAAATTTTAATGAAATTCCAAATCTTAAAGGGAATAATATTTTGCAGCCATTTTAATTTGGCAATGGCTAGGAGAGCCTTGTAAAAGCAAGATAGATCATATAGTTACTAAGGATGCCAATAAATACTGACATAAATTAAAATTATAATATAATTTTATAATATTAATAATTTAAATCGGCCTAATTGGTCGAAAAAAAATGATCAACAAATACATGTCAACTTCTTGATACTACAATTAGGGTGTTCAAATGCGTTGCAAACTTTGTAAAGTGTAAAAGTGTATATCAATTCCAACAACAATTTCTATACAAAATAGCTTTAAAGGCCTACTTTTGAAAACTATTTTGTATAGAAATTGTTGTTGGAACTTTACAACGTTTGCAACGCAATTGAACACCCTAATTATTTTGTTCAGTTAACGTAGCTTAACTGTTGATAAATCAATTACGAAAAAAAACTTTAAAAATTACGTGTTATTTTCTGTTTAAAAAAATAAATTTTATTAGGTTTCAGTTATTATACCTGGCCTGAATAATCACATAGGTAGTTAATATCTAGAATTCACTTTCCTCATTTGGTAAATGATAAATTTATCTCATAATTTGTTCAGTGTAGGTTTTAAGAATTTCCTACAGAGTATTTTAAATTGGGTGATGTTTATTATTACTTTTTGGATGATTGCTTTTTTTTAATGGTATCAACGATTGTTGTAAGGTCGTAGTAAGAGTATCGATAGTAGCTGTAGTACTCCGGATTCTTGTAGATTTCCTTTTTTCCTGCTTTGGGTCCCAGCTGCTCGGCTTCTTCCACAATTCGGTAGGTAGATGGGGGTATAAAATCCGGGGAGACGAAGGCCATTGTATTCAGGTTCTGGGGAGTACATCCCTCGGGGTGATCGCGAACATTTCTGGGACTGGTGCCCAAACGCTTGAGAGCATTTTGTTCCTTGCCATCACTCGAGTAATTCTGATAGGTCCTTAAAAGCCATAATGGTGAGCGGGATAAAAATGGAATTCTGGCTCCACGAATCATTTTGGAAGTATAGATTTTTGATGAGAACAGAAAGTATATTTGAAATAAAACCGGTTGGAAAACGTTATTTTTTGACAGCCTATGTCTGCTCAGTTTAGAGCACTGAGATTAGTACAGAACCTATGATTTAAAATGCTTAAATAAATACATTCCAGCAAATCACATTCCGCTATTCAAATACTGTGTTTGGCTTAGAGATAGACAAACATGGGGCTACACTTAAGAGCACTAAGGGCCGGTTTCTCGAGTCCCTGTCAAAGTCCCTGATAGCTATCTGTCCGAAAAACTTAAAGACCAGATAAACTGTTCGTAAAAGCAAATCGGCTTTCTCGACTGCTTTAATTTATCTGAACGAGAAACAATTACAGAGTGCTGTTAACGCACAGAATTGTGCTGTGAAGCGCAAAAAATGGCATGCTTCGATTATTTCATCAGCTGTTTGGGTATAATTTAAAGGAAAAGTCAGCTGTGATTTCGTTTCTTCTTCATAGTTGGCTTTGGGAAATCAGCTGTCATTCTATCGAGTCGAAAACGCTTAACAGGGACTCCGAGTCCCTGTCAAAGTTAGCTCTCACATTTATGCTCGAGAAAGTCAAAATGCCTTAGCAGGGACTTTATCTGTTCGAGAAATGTTAGCCGGCACTCGAGAAACCGGCCCTAAGCCAAATATGTTTACTTTACCGCGCCCCAAAACTCGGGCCTGTCATAAACATGCGACTGCCCCACTTTAAGCCGGCTATAAAGCAGGCACAAGAGCCAAAACACAAAGCACACGTTGAATAATTTCGATCATTAAACTTATTCCACTTAAAATCCATTCAGGATTTGAGGGGACGAAGCGGCGGAGATAAATGCGCCAGCAAACCCGAATGCTAACCCTCGACAATCAGGCAAGGCAACCCACAATGGACCTCCGGGGCGGCGGTAAAGTTTTTAAAACGTTGAACAACGGCAACGATGGCAATAAAAATCAACAACAACCCGAGTCGGTGAAATAAACGGTCAAGTGCTGAAAATTGTCAGGTCCTGGAGGAGGACGGGTGGCACGTAGATGTTTCTGGCTCACCTGAACGCTTTTTAATACACTCTCAAGCCCACGCACATAACGGAGGCGTCCCTGATTGTGGCTTGTAAATTTATAGTTTCACCAAGAAAATCGCGCTGGCAAACTTTTTACTTTTACTGGGTCTCTGCGTGAAAACACACACTCGCAATTACATTTACCCAAACCCTTGGCCCTCAGCTCTTTCCCCACTCGTTCCAACTTCCTGCGGCACATCCTCATCCACATCCTCATCCACAATCCCAGCCAGCCAGTTGGCGACATCTAATTGCTTTTGTTTTCGGCCCAGACTGGCAATGCCGCACTACAAGTGGCTTACAAGCGGGTACAGTTGGGTCGCAAAGGTTGCACCCGGGCTCCAAAGTCGTAGTGCTGCGGAAGCCCTTTCGTTAAGGTAATTTTCCGCTATAATTTCAATGGCTCTGTGTGTGCGCTTTCAGTGTGTGCGAAAGAAATCGTAGAAAGTTTTTCGGTTTTGGAGGTTTGGAGTTAAAAGAGCTGTTAAAGTTGATTGTTAGTGGGGCTAAACCGGGGTTAGTGCGTTTTCCAGAGTCGAGTGGAGTAACATTATGAAATTCTTTCAGTTGAAATTGGCTTACGACAGAGGTTATTAGGTGCTTAAAACATCCAAGTAGTTTATAGTTAACAAATTACAAACAAAGTAAATGCAAATATTTTAGTTTCTTAAGAAATCAAAGTTCAGTAGTTCAATATACTCTTGTGGTTTTTAATAAGGTTGTAAAAATATTGAGAGTCAAAACCCTCGATGATTTCCACTATCGATATTATCGATACTATCGGAAAATATCGAAACAACAAATTAAAAACGCTAAAGAAATCTAAAAAAATGTTTTATCTTAATATATAACCAAATAACAGTTACAATTATATCTTTATTATCTTTAATTTTTAAACCATCGATAGTATCGCTAGTGCTACCGATCGTTTTGCCAACCTCATTTTGCAATAATTTGATGGACCATTTTTAAGTATTCTATTCTTTATTCCAAGTCCAGACGTCCCACTTATAAATACCATAAATATTCTCTTTAAAATATCTTCAAACCTCGAAAGATTTCGTTACGATAAGATACTAATTGTATGCAAATAAATTCGGCAACATTTCCTATAGTCAAAATCTTTTGCATCTGCATATTCATATTTAAAATCAAGCTCCAATCTGCTTCATACCGTATCCAAGTTGCTTGTTCCTTTATTTAAAGCCAGATAATTTGCCTGACACCTCGAGTTCTGATAACTTTTGAAGACATTCGTTGACTTTTGTGGGTGAAATCAAAAACCCAGCGAAACAAAGCTGCAGCTGCAGCAAAACTTTATGCAAATGCTACGGGAATTCGGGAACTCAAGTGCTGATGAGCACGGTCCTGGGTGCTGCCGTAAATTGGGTGGTGGCTTTTGTGCCATTTTTAGCACGAAGTCGACAACCAACAACGAAGAACGAACAACCAACCGGCGACGGGTAAAAACACTAAGAGACACTGTTACTATTCGGCTGCTTGCTTAATTAAAATGCGCAGGCAGTGCGAGCGCTTCATTTGGCCCGCTTAATCGCCCGCCACAGATTTGAATCGGCTTGGAGGCCGAGAACTGAGTTCTGAGTACTGGGAACTGAAACCTGGGTGCCGAGAACCATTCCGGAAAACGCCGACCCCAATTCGCCACCCTGTTCTGTGTTCTTGCTGTTGCTTTGCATGTAAAGTGTCAAGTTTTTCATTATAATTTGCATATTTTTCGCCAACTTTTCGTCTACCGCCCGCCCATCGCCCACTTGGCCCGCTGAGCAAATGACAACAATAAGCATTATGGCCTGAGCCCCGAGAAAATCCCGCTTGGCCAGGACCTAGGCAACATGCTCGTCTATCTGCTGGATACACAGAATGTATCTCTTAAGCTATTTTCAAGTTTAATTCCTTGACTTCGCTCCTTGGCCGCCGCCTGCGTGTTTGCCCCGAAAACTCCAAAGATGTTGCCGAGCCGCGGCGCATAATCACGCGAAATCTGAAAACGTGTCTGGTATAATAATGAGCACTGATTATAACTTGAAATTGTGTGTGAAAGTACAGTTGTGTGCGCAAGTTATGCTACGTGGGCGCTCTTACTGCAAAAACTGTAAAAAAGAAGTACTTTCTTGCAAGTTTCCTGGGCACAAAGGGATGATACGATAAAACAATACCGGCTTTTATAAAAATGGGTGCTTCCATAGCCATAGAAATTTACTTGGTCAGTAAAAAATTATATTTTTGAAAAATTCGAATTCGAAATTCGAAAGCAGAATTCAAAGGTCAAAAGAATGTTTTCTGACGGCAAGGCACAATTTTTATTATTATATTTAAATTAGGTAAGCTAATTTTCAATGAAATGTGGTTTTAAGTTTTCCCCTGTTTTTTTTTTAAATTTATTGTTTATTTTCTTTAACTTTCGATGGTATCGATAATATCGATAGTGATTACAATAGATAGCCAAACTATCGATATTTTCACAATCCAAATTTAAATGGCCTTAGATTCTAGCACCCACTGTGCCATCCCCCACCTCAACATTATGCGTATTTTAACTCAAATGATGTCTTCTTAATCAACTACCAAGTTGAGACGAAGGTGTCGATACAGGGAAAGAGAAAAAGTTGAAAAACTGACGTCCAGGCGGGAGGAACTACCTCGTTCTTATGCCAGCCCACTTCCATTTTTAGCCCTACGGCCACGTTGTTATGTCGTATTGTGCCAACATGTCCTGCCACCCATTTTCTGCAGCTCTCCTCTCATCAGGCAGTACGTGTGGTGTGGCGAGAGCCTGCAGGATATTATATAATGTGTAGTAATTTGAATTTGAAGTGTGTGGCAGCGAATGAAGCTCATAAGCCGCAGACAGTAGACAAAGGGGCTCGACGTGTGTCGCCCTGTGTCTTGTGTCCTGTGAGGATATTCCTTTCTTCTTTTCTGCATCCACTTCGACGGGGAAACATCAAAAATGTTCATGTCTCCCGGGGCGGATTAATAGGATTTTCTTTTATGGATTTATGTTGATTATTCTGATGTTATTAGTTTAGAAGCGTGACAGTCGATTCGACATTTTAAAGTAATCCATTGATATACGACTTGGCGACGAGGGTCCTAGCTGGCGCTGCTTGAACCGAAAGGCCCCCCACTAAATCACAAAAATTGCATGGACCGCGCCCCATTAGACCAACTTATTTATGGCAACGCGACATTCAATGGCAATTCAATATATTTTGGGGCGAAGAAAAAACCGAAATCAAACAGAATTTGTATTTGTATCTGGCCGTCGGTCATTTTTGGTTGGCTGGCTCGGTCGGGGCCGTTTTGGCCCGGCCAGAAACAAACTCCGCAATCGCCGCACACAATAAACCATTACAGACGATTAATTTCATTATCCGCGGCGAGTGAAATCAAAAACAGCAACAGATTTATGCGTGCGACCGCAGGATCTCCATCGAAAGCGAATGCAATTGTCCAATCTTGTCTCGTTTTTTTCTGTTTTTAATTCCCGCATTTTTTGTTTGAGGTTATGAAATGGTATTTTAGTCGGGGATGAATGGGTTGTGCTTGATAAAACTGATGATGATTTGGTTTTTGCGGTTTTAGGAGCGCATAGAAAAGTTCTTTTGTGTTTGGGGTCTCGTGATGAATTACTCGATAGGGGAGCGTAAATGTTTCCGGATAGGCAAATCGGATCAAAGGCATGAAACGCCAAACAAATTGCCACGAAACGTTCTTTTATTGTGTCCCAAAACCATAAAAAGCGGAATATTTCAATTTCTTTTGACCATTAAAAGTCTGGGTTCGTGGCCCTGAAAAGATAAGTTTATTTATTGCCAAATAATTTTTGATATATTTCAGAAAAATACTTTCTTTGTAATTTGTACTTTCTGTCAAGTCAATTTGCTTTTTAATCATTTTCAAATTGAATTCGAAGGTGTGAACATAAATCTCCGTTCCAAAAGTTTGAAATTTAATATTTTATTG